GAGAGAACAGACCCTGCACGGCCTTCAGATAGCTGGGACGTGTGTGCCCGGCCCTCAACATGCCTCATGCCTCATGTGACAATCCTCAGAGGCTCCGGGGATGCTCATGAGCTCTGGGGAGCCTCACTCATATCTGGGGACCCTCAATTAGCTCTGGTGACCCTTTCAGGCTCCAGGGACCCTCTCAGCTCTGAGGACCCTCACAGGCTCTAGGGATGCTCACTGAGCTCTGGGGACCCTCACAGGCTCTGGGGAGTCTTACTCATCTCTGAGGACCCTCAATTAGCTCTGGAGACCCTCACAGGCTCCAGGAACCCTCTCAGCTCTGGGGACCCTCACAGGCTCTAGGGACCCTCACTGAGCTCTGGGGATGCTCACTGAGCTCTGGGGACCCTCACAGGCTCTGGGGAGCCTTACTAATCTCTGGGGACCCTCAGTTAGCTCTGGGGACCCTCACAGGCTCTAGAGATGCTCACTGAGCTCTGGGGACCCTCACAGGCTCTGGGAGATGCTGAGTTCTGGGGACCCTCACAGGCTCTGGGGAGTCTTACTCATCTCTGGGGACCTCAATTAGCTCTGGGGACCCTCACAGGCTTCAGGGACCCTCTCAGCTCTGGGGACCCTCCCAAGCTCTGGGGATCCCCACAGACTGCAGGGAGCCTCACTCAGCTCCAAGGACTCAACTTGGTGAAGTCACTGAACACATAAAACCATAAATGTGAGGACTGAAGCTCTGAGGAGTGGGAAGGAGGGAAGCGGCAGGGACTCGTTCGAACTCTCCCAGGACTCACCACCCATTGGTGAGGCACCTGTGAGAGCAGGAGGTGCCAGTGGACCAAGCTTGAAGCCACAGAGTGACTCCTTATCGGCCCCAGGAACGCGTCTGAAACACCTGCACAGTGGCCGAGCTCCCTTCAGGAGTGTCACCGGCATCATCAACAGTCCCGCCCTGAGACATGCCCATCTGCAGCCCCTCTGCTGCCCCAGGACTCAGAGTGCACAGGGCCTCATGGAAATCCCCACAAGGAAAAGACCACTGTGACCGGGGAACAGCGAGGAGACCAAGCGAGGGTTGGTGAGCAAATTTTTACCGTATTTATCCTTTCAAGTGACCCTGGAATAAAAGTTTGTTTTCTGTGTTTGTTTGGGGGCCACATCCAGCAGTGCTCAGGGATCACTCCTGGTGGTACTCGGGGGACCCTATGGGATGAGGGAAATTGGACCCAGGTGAGCCGCGTGCCAGGCAAGCTCCCTTCCACTGTGCCATTGCTCTGGCCCCTGGTATGAGAACAATTCAAGCTCATTTCTACCAGAGCTGTTTTTGTGTGACTAACCAAAAGGAAAAGATGAACAGACACCGACTAGACAGACGTGATTTTATTGGAGATTCACTTGGCTACAATCATCCCCCTCAAAAAAGTACCTGGGGGTGGGGAGGAACACACACACACACAAAAAAAAAAACAAACCAACAACGGAAGGTAGTTGTGAGCCAGCAGGTGCCGGCCGCATGGCCACTCATTACATCAGCTTCCTTACACACGGCTGCAGTGTGACAGCAAGGGGTCAGCACCAATGTACCCAGGTTAGTTTTACTTGATTTCACTCATCTTCCTTCACTCATTTACAGCGGGAGAGTCAGACACTTCACTTCCTCTTCACCTGGGCATTTGGGGGCTATGTAACCCACTGCTGAGGGGAGTCCTGAGAGCATCTATAAAATTTAAATTGTGGTTGGTGTCTCCAAACCAAAGTAGGCTAGGATTAAAATATATTTACAAGGTAGTTGCACAGGATTGTGCTCACGGCTTGTAAAAATGACAAGTCAAGCAGAGTCCCCGGATGTTGCTCCTCTCACCAACCGCTTAAATGGTCTTGATCTCAATCATCGTAACTTTTCATGCACAATACAAAATCAAGAAATTTTATTTGGAAGCCATTCAACTCCTGGAAAGTAACCAGCAGCTGGGGAAAACTAGGCCTGAATGCGGTCACAGTGACCGTGCAGGCAATGAATGTGCCAGTCTCGGCTCCCACACGCCTCAGAGGCTGTTGGCGTAAGTCACTGGGCTCTCAGTCCGGGGCCCAGTTGTGGAGGACAAAGAGATACCTTAAACACAGCATCACATCGCACTGTCATCAGTTGCGCCCAGCTGGACCCCGAAGTCAGAGCGAGTTGCAGGCACAGAGGCACAGACCAGCAGGGCTGAGGGTGCCGCATCTCTGGTGCTCTGAGCCCGGGGCCTGACTCTCTGAAAGCTCAGAGTGAACATCCTCCTCTACTTGGAGAGAAGCACCAGGGAGCTCTAAGCTAGGCACTTCCCATAAAAAGAAGGGGGGGGGGGGGGCAGAGAGTGAGAGAAGGGAGCAAGAGAAGAGAGAGAGGAGAGGGGGGGGGGAGAGGGGAGAGGAGAGATAGAAAGCAAGAAAAAGAGAGAGGAAGAAAAAAAGGGAGGAAGAGAGAGAGGGAGAGGGAGAGAGAGAGAAAGAGAGAGAGAGAGCAATAAACACGTGGAAATGTCGCTGCAGGCTCAGTCCTGATCCTGAATTCCGCAAAGCCACAGGCTGTGATTCCATCCTTCTTCTCCTGGTGCTTCCCCAGTAGGGAGGAAGCAGCTGGTGCAGAGCGCGGCTCCCGGGGCCACAGGGACAGAACAGAGGGGACGTCTGGGCCTGGTAGTGCCAGCCTGCCGCTGAGTGGCTGCCGAGAACGGGACACCGGGGCAGCCCAGGCCCCACCACCAGCTCCCCCACCGTGGCCCTCGGCAGGATGGGGTCGGGTAGCCTCACCACGCACAGGACCCGCTGCAGGGTCAGCGGGAGGAGTGGCAGGCTTGGGAGGGGGCGCAGAAAGGGGTCACTCTCCTGTGCAGATGCCGCTAACCGGGCAGCCCTCACGGCCCTCACAGCTCAGCACAAACGCCTAAGCCAGGGTCTCTGAAGGCTGGCACGGCGTGTTCGGGCTCCAACTTCGCTAACGAGAGGTCAGAGAGCAAATGCACCCGAGTGAGAGCTGCCAAGTAACCTGGGCTACTTTTCCTCAGACGTGAACCAAGGGAACGTGTGGAAGCCCGCAGCCAATGGGGCGGCCACAGCGACGCTGAACGCGGCACATCCGAGCTGTTCACATCAACCAAAAGTCAAAGTGTGAAGGTTCCAGATAACCCCCCAAGGCTCCTCCCCCTCCGGGACATCGCGGGTGTGCGACAATCCAGATTGGGGACCGGCACTGGGCTTGGCGTTACAAGCAGGCAGCCCAGAGCGGCTCCGTCCGGTACTTTAGAAATTGTCACCAGACCCGTGACTGAGTGTGTCACCCCACTCACCCTCACAGGAAACTACACAGCAGCCTCCTCCCTGCTGGTAGACAGAATAGGTCTAACCTGCCAGGAGATCTCAAGTCGAGATGTATGGGTTTGTTTTTTTTTTTTTTTTTGCTTTTTAATAAAGAAATAAAAATCCAGGCTCCGATTCCAGAATGAAATCTTTTAAAAATGAGACCACCCACATTTAATTTGCTCAAAAACTCATTTAATCGTTTAGATCCCAATTTCAGATCCGAGACAAGGAACAGTCGGGCAGCTGGACTCTCTCGGCCGGGGCTCCCTGGGAGCTGGACTGCCGGTTTATCTGGGCGCGCGCACACGTGCAGAGGGTGGAGGGAAAGCGAGGGCGCGGCCCGGGCTGCATCGGTCGGGACAGACACAGTCAGGCCCGGCAGGTCTGCAAGACCGACCCGCGGGCTGGAAGGGGGCAAACGAAGAGGTATCAGAGTTACAGTGCAAACAAAATGAGAACTTCAAGCATAACACAGAAACATAGCACCAAACGGGGGAGGGGGGGAGGAAACAACCCGCATGCAAAGGAAAAAAACTGAGGTATTCGAGTGACGGGGGCGGGCAGGCCTAGACAAGCTGGCCGTGGGAGCCTGTACGGGTCTCGTTTCCCCTTCCTGCGGCCCGGGGAGGAGCTGGTCCATCTAAGTGAAGACCGAAATCGCAGCAGGCTGAGAACCGGGGCGGCTTCTCGGCAGTGTCCCGGGCACGGGTGAGGTGAGACACGGCAGGAAGGAGAAGGCAGAGTAGTGTCCTGCTCCGTCTCTCCAATGAGGTGACCCAGTGGCTGCGAGACCACCGCGAGGCCGAACGCAACAGGACTGAGGGTTATCTGGGACGGTGACAAGGTTCAGGGCAAACAACCCACCGCAAATGTGCCCCTGCGCCCCCCACCCCGGGGACCAGCTGACTGGAGGTCTTTAATAAAACTGGGTATTCGGACCAAGATCCTTTTCCTCATGCTGATTTAAAAAAAAAAAATTTTTTTTCCTCTAAATTCCCAGATGACAACCCTGGCTTCAAAGGTGTCTTCGGGACCCACACAGAAACTCCAGCATCCCCCCCGTGTGCAGTTACATTACGGCCGCACTAGTGCAGTGCTGCTCTCTGACACGGCCCCACAGAGTGAAGCTGATGGGGAAAAGAACTTGAAAGAAGCTTGTTCCCGAAGATCAGGAACTAAAAGAATATTTAGGAGGGTTTTACTTTTTTTTTTTTTAAGGCAAGAATCTTCTCTTATGCAAGACTCACAAAAACTAGAATCTGATTCACACGCAACCAAGTGGCGCTCATAAGCTAGCCACCCCGACCACGGGGCACCACCTCGCTGGCCCAGGCAGAAACTCCTCCTGCAAACCAAATTCTTCCTGTGGGCTTCTTAACGTGGGGAGCAAGCGAGGCCGTGCCAGCTGCCGGTGTGGGGAGTAGGCCAAGGAAACCTAAGGGTCACTTGTTCTCCTAACCCTCCGCAAAGCTGACAGAAACAAAACGAAACGAAACAAAAAACGAGAAAACAACACAAACGACAAACAAACCCAAAGCCAATGACTGAACTCTCCGGGACACTGGCAAGAAGGCAGCAAAGCCCTCCTGGGACTCAAACAAAGCAGAAGTGAGGAAAGAAGATTGTGTCTGCGCAAAAAAACTAAAACTACAGTTAGTTCCGATGGTTTTATACATATGTTAGATGTTTTATTCTGTGATCTAGCTCATTATGAAACAAACTTGAAATTCTGCCTCCAATTCATTCGGCTCATTCTCGACTTCAAATCATACTTTTCAATGAATTTAAATATTTTCTTCCCTTAATTCTGCTCTTAAAAAAAAATAATAAAACCCAAAAAAACTGTTTTCCTTCTGGACGGGCTTCAGCTGTTGGAAACCTGAGGTTGATTCGCTTTGAGGTTGCGCAGGGCTCTCCTGGCGGCGGCCGACTTGGCGATGCGGTAGCTGCGGCCCACGCCCTTGAACTTGCCCTTCCCCACCACCTCCACCGTCACGCGCACCTTGCCGTCGTACGTTCTCTCGGCTGGGCTGGAAGAGAGCCCCGGGCAGAGTCAGATCGGAGCCTCCCACTCCCCGTCTCATCACCGCGGGTCACGGCCAGTGTAGGCCGGGGCTGGGCGGGTGGGCAGTCGGGCCCCTGGCTCCCACCGCCCCGCAGTGCCTTTTGGGAGGGGGTCCGACCCATCTCACCCCGGGCCAGGAGGAGCCGCTGGGCCTGGTGTCCCTGAGAACTCTTCCCGCTGGTTTGGGGGATCATACCAGCTGTGCTCAGGTCCCTCCCGACGGGCCTCATACGCAATGCTGGGGCTCGAACCCGGGTCAGCGCCCTCCCTGCTGGTCTATCCTCTCCCTGCCCCCCCCCCACACTGGCTTCCTTCCGTGCTGCCCCCCAGGCTCGTTCTGGGCTTACCTGAACTTGGCGGTCTCTGGTTCCATTTCGAGCAGCTCCCGCACAGGGGAACGGGGCACGTTCGCAGAAAACTTTTCTGTAAGCAGAATGGAAAAGCGGATGTGAGTCCCCTCTGTGAGGTGGGTGGCTCTGAATTCCGACTCGCCGCTTTCGGGGGGTCCCCCCCAGTACCTATGAGTGGCCGCATCATGGGGTAGTACACCTGCCATACGGTCTCCAGCGACATCCCGCTGTCCATGTAGATGGCACCGGCCAGTGACTCGAAAATGTCCCCCATGGCCTTGGGGACCTCGATGTCCTCTTCTTTCTCTTCATCCTCCTCAGATCTCCTGAGCTGTTAAGAGAGAAAAAAAAAAGCAACCAGTGAGCCAAAGGGCCGTGTGGAGAAGCAGCCGCACCTCCTCGGCCCAGCCCCCTCCACGGGAGGGAGCGGTCGTCCCTCATCTTCTGCCCTGAGAGGGGCAGCGCCGACCACCTGCCCCGAGGGTCTTCACAAACGGCACCTCGTGCAGGGGAAGGAACGGGCTCCCCTCTGACCTGCCCGCTTAGTATTCCCTGCCCAGCCAAAGGAAAAACTAGTTCACAAAATGACACTTAAATACAAAGTTAGAAGTGGTGAAGGTAAGAAACGAGACTATTTTGCAAGTCACTCATGTCCAGGAAATCGAGCAGGTGCTGGCACTTGAGCCCTGGGGACGCTGCCCTCTGGGGGCAGAGAGGGTCTCTGTGGCAGGCGTTTGCCTCAAGGTTCCCCGATGAAACAGCTCCTTCCCCCAGCCCCTCTGCGGGAGAACTAGAGGAGTACTTGATTAAACCGGTGTTCAGACAGAATAATGTTTACCCAAGTTCTTTAGAAGTTCAATCACTCTCGGGCCGGAAAGATAGCTCAGTGGGTAGGGCACTTGCCTTGCACGTGGTGATCCAAGTTCAATTCCCAGCATCCCATAAGGCCCCTCCAAGCACTGCCAGGAGTAACTCCTGAGCACAGAGTCAGAGTCCTAAGTACCAGGTATAGCCCAAATTCACCAATGCCCAACAACCCACCTGCTCCCCCAACCCCCCTCAAAAAAGATCCCAATTCTCAAAGCAATTTCATGCCGAGGAACTCATCAGAGGTGGGACCTGAATACGTAAGTGCTTGTATCATCTGCTAGTTACTACAGTGAAGAGAAAGCTGTCACCCAGCCATAAGGCCTGACTCCACACCCTGCATGGTGATCCTGCAGACCCCCAAGTCTGCCTAGGCATGCCTCCCCACCCTGTGCAGGAAGGCCCTCACACCCCCATCTGCTGGATACGCAGCAGAGGTGAGATCCCCCAAACGTCCACTGTGGGGATGTCCGAGGGAGCGGGTTTGCAGGACTGTTCATTTTCCTTGGTGTTCTTGCGTGTTTTGTTTTTTTGGTTTTTGGTTTTTTGTTTGTTTGTTTTAAATCAACACAAGTTACTTGTGAAAGAAAAACAAGAACAAGTGGGACAGTAATTTCCGCAGCTGGCTGGGTCACAGGGAGTTCTGTCACTGACAGACACCGAGAAAGCCAAGCCCCACTCAGCCAGGGGGCCAGGGTAAGAGGAACACTACAACTCATCAGATCCAATTCTCCCTTTTTCGTGGAGGAGGAAACAGCGGCCCGGAGAGGTGGGGAGCCTTGGGAAGATCAAACGGCGGCACTGGAAAAGGCAGAGTGAGGCACTGCCAGGCAGCTCTTGCGACTTCAATGCCCATGCTTAATAAAGAAAGGGAAGGGAAAGGAGGAACACAAACTAACAGAACCCGTATGTCCCACTGTCATCAAACGAAAACGTAAAATCTAATTGTCGCTAATTCCTCCCGCTCCAAGCGGAAACCTCTGCGGGAGGAGGCTGGAGGCGAGGGTGCCCATGTGGAGCGCTCTCCGCAGCTCGGGAGGGCACAGACACGCGGGCGCAGGCTCTGTCCCGTGCCGTCCCTCCAACACTGCTCCTAGCTTTCCTCACCCGTAGTCGAGGCAACGCCGCAGCTGAGGGTGCAGTTAGGAAAGGAAGCGCCAGAGAAGGAAGGAGCCGGCTAGCCGTGCAGCACAGAGGCTGGCAGCAGAAAGCCAGCAGGCAGGAGCCGGAGGTAGGGGCCAGGGCCACAGCCCTGCCACCACACTTCTGCCCCGGCTCAGATGCCGCCCAGGGGGCCTCTGGTTGAGCTGGGGTGGCGATGCCTCTCAGGGTCCGGTGCTCCCTAATGCCGGGAGGCCTGGCATGGCCACGGGATGTTCCCGGCTCCTGGGAAGCAGACTGGCCGAGCCTGCTTACCCGGGAGACTGGGGACCACCCCGGCTCCGCTCTGGACAAGGAGGAGTTTCCCAGAGGCAGGGCCAGGCACAAGCTAGTGTGAAGGATTAACACGGAGGGCAGGGAAGGGCAGTGTTATCCTACAGGCGCCCACTTCCTTTCCACTGGTCCCCCCCAACCCCTACCTCCCACCCGTGGCCCTTTCCCCACCCCCACACCCACCTCCGAGTCCATGCCCTGCATCTCGTTCTTCTCCAGCTGGAACTGCACGAAGTCATCAATGACGTGGAAGAGCTCCGGGGACACGGCCTTGAAGTACTTGTGGTAGTCGTACTTGACGGCCAGCGACGCGAAGATGGTGTTGTTGACGAGCGCCGAGCGGAGGTCCGTGAGCACCCCCGGGGAGTGCTGCCGGGGGTCCTCGTAAAGGTGCTTGGTTATGAGGTAGTCCAGAATCGCATCTCCCAGGAACTCGAGGCGCTGGTAGCAATCTGGCGGGGAGGAGGGTGTAGAGAGGGGCACCACTCAGACAGGAGCAACACAGCTCGCCTGCGCGACTGTTCTGTGTGTGACTTCAGGCTCGACTCCGTCTGGCACCCTGACAGAACGTCACGGATGTTCCTCGAGGCCAGTGGCCGGGAGCATCACCCTGCACCCGAGACCAGGAACTGACACTCTGGCGATGATCCAAGCACTTTATGTTTTGTGTCAGCTGGCCCGTTCCAGAGAAACAGTTCTGGGGCTAGTGGCTTCTGGGGCGTCAGAGCTCCAGTGAGCAAGACCCCCAGAGCCCCGACACTGGGACAGCCCCTCGCCCCTGCCTGCAAGCCAGCACAAGAACACCCCTCTTCATGGAGCAGTGAGATGGGGCCGAGCCCCAGACAGAAAAAGTGAGCTGTGGGCATGGGGCTGCCTATGAGTGCAGCAAGCGAGGGCCAAAAAGCAAGTTTCGCTCCCATAGACCCCCGCCCACCCCCCAAAAAAAGGGTGCACCCCCCCCACCGCCCGTCTCTGCAACACAGGCATCAATGTTTTGGGATGCCGACTTGCAGCCTCTCACACTCGCATGCAACTGGTGCTCAGGGCGGGCCTGACGCTGACACAGGAGGAGCCCATCAGGGGGGCTCTGGTCCACCCCCCGCCCTGGCCCCCACTTTCCCCAGGAGGAAAAGCCCAGCGGCCAGCCACGGCAGGCTGAACCCGCCAGGGAAACAGCTCCAATCCCGCCCTCCTCTCCCCCGCCCCACCAACCCTGCCCGCTCCCAGGGCCACTTTTGAGTGAAGGAAACACAGGAGTGGGGGGCTGGATGGTGGTGGGCTGGGAAACAAACGGGGAAGGGGCGGGGCGCGGCGGGCCTACCCGTGATGGTGTTGTAGTGGTAGGAGGCGTGGGTGAAGGCCTGCAGCAGGTACGCCTTGTTCTTGAACCGGTAGTTGATCTTCCTCTCGAAGTTGCTGAAGCCCGAGATGAGCTGCAGGAGCGTCCTGTCGGCGTCGGGGTGGTCGAACATGCAGCGCGGGGGGATCTTTAGGCAGCCGTACTCCAGGTCCTTCCAGAGGGCCGGGCGGGGGGCGCCGCCAGCCGCAGGGGCGCGGGGCAGGACGGGCAGCACCTCGAGCCCCAGCGAGCAGAGGAAGAGCTGGGCGGCGCGCTCGCCGCAGCTGGTCAGGTAGCAGCCCAGCAGGGCCTCCACGCAGTCGGCGATGCTCTTGTCGGCGATGCACTGCTCCGTGTGCAGGTCGTACGAGATGCACGGCTTGCCCGCCTCGGCGCCGCAGCTCTCCTCCGACGGGTTCCAGAAGCCCACCACGAAGTCGTCCTCCTCGCCGGCCTTGCTGGGGTCCAGGTAGCACATGGCGTCCCACGAGCTGTAGTCGAAGTCCTCGAAGTCGGACGGGAAGGGCGCGGCCCCCAGCGGCGGCTTCGGGGGCACCTTCCACTCGCCCGCGGCGTCGGGGGCAGCGGCGAAGGCCGAGAGCGAGATCTTCTTGACGAAGGCGCCCGACCCCATCAGCATGTTGTCGATGAACTTGATGTGCTCCTGGTCGTACTCCAGAATGTCGTCCTCGTAGTCGGGGTCCTCCTTGGGCGCCCTCCACGTGAGCTCCTCCTCCTCCTCGTCGTCGTCCTCATCCTCGTCCTCCCCAAAGGCGTCCTCCAGCTTGCCGTTGGCCAGCATGCAGTCTTTTGTCTGCAGCAGAGGGGCACGGGGGGCCAGGCAAGAAGGGGAGACATAAGCTGCTGTTTTTAAAAGGGTTTGAAACTCAATAAAAGCCAGGGTTATGGATAATTTCAAATGACAACCACAAATACTAAAAGGCAACTTTAAAATCATAGCCATTTGTTTTCAATTAACATAAAATAAGTTATTTAATCATATAAACAAAGTAAAGCATGTTCTTTGAATGTTCATTTTCTAAGTTATAAAAATGACCTTTATCCAGGATGAAGCTTTACATGAAGGGTTTTTGTGCAGGGATATAAAGTTAAAATTAATGTCCACAAAGCAAAGCTTCAGCCGGGCACGCCGGCTCTGGAAGGGCGTGCAATCAAAGAATCGCCGGCCAATCACAGAGGGCTCCGGTTCTGCTGACAAAGTTTTTCAATGTTTTGAAAAGGTTTTTCCAATTGACAAAATTTAATTCCAGATGTAGAAGGGAAAAAAGCATTACCTTTGCAATTAAGTAAGAATGTGATATGCAAGCAGATATAATTATTTCTTAGATCTTTATAACTTTAAACATGCACAATAGGGTTTTATGATGGAGATTTTGCCCTGATCCACTTGAAACCAAAGTCCACTCGCTGCTTCGTAAACCCAAATTCCTGTGTGCCTGAAAACTAAAAGTGATCAGCAAACTAAGCTATGAACTTAGAAATTGTGTTTTTCCCCCTCCACTGAGTTACAGTAATCAGAGTAACAGATTATAGCATAACTGACAAAAATAGAAGAAAATTTAGACTAACATGAAACACAGCAATTCCTGTCACAAGATCTTTGCTAATTCCAATTTCTCTGGCCAAAGCTTATTTGTGAATGACAACCTTAATAATGGCTCCGATTTGGTAATGACGTGACTTTCACAATGCTAAGAGAAGGCCCAACTTTCGGTTACCGGAGAAAACAGAAGTTTGCTGGAAGTTTGCTGACTTCAGTTTGGATGGAAGCCTGTGGAAATCTGTCACTGGCGAAAAGGTTCTCAAGCCTGAGATTTCCTTTTAGGTCAAACTCCAAAGAAACTGTGCATTTATTTTAAAAGAAATAAGAGCAGCGAGTCACAGCATGTACCTACCCTATATACGTTTATGCTTTTTTTAATAGCACTGTAGCACTGCCTTCCCGTTGTTCATCGATTTGCTCGAGCGGCGGGACCAGTAATGTCTCTATCATGAGACTTGTTGTTACTGTGTTTGGCATATTGAATACGTCACGGGGAGCTTGCCGTGCGGGCGAGCTACTCTTGGGAGCTTGCCGGGCTCTCCGAGAGGGGTGCAGGAATTGAACCTGGCTCGGCCGGGCTGGCTGCATGCAAGGCAAATGCCCTACCGCTGTAAAAAAGATTGTACAACTTTTTCAAGAGCGAGGACGGCCACCAAATGAAGCCACAGGGGCCAACGACTAGAAACAATTTCCTGGAGAAAGCCAGGCAGTGTCCCTCACTGGTGTTTGTTTCTTTAAGGGGGAAAAAAAAGAGCCAAAGTAGAATTTAGAGAATAAACTTGTCTCTTGAGTCCAAGCTCCCAGAAGCTAAAACAGAGCAGAAAACACAAAGGGCAGAGTCCGGCTACCAACAAGGCCCGGGGCCTGATGCACAGCGCCTGATTTCATGCAGCCGCATTTCACTTCCTTTATTGGCAGGAGATTGTGATTTGGTCTCACAAGATGAGCTGTTTGTTCCTTTGTTTGGTTCCATACGCTGAACTCAGGGATCACTCCTGGTGATGCTCGGGGGTGCCTTGTGGGGTGCTGGGGATTAAATTGGGACTAAGCCTTACCCGCTGTACTATCGCTTCAGTCCCCCTCACTAGAAGATTTTTAAAGCACTTCCAGTTCTCAAACAAGCAAACAAACAAAAACACCAGCGTGCCACTCTTACACAGTTCTAGTGAACTTTCTAGGTGAATTATTACCACCCTCCTTCCCATTTGAATGCAAATATTTCATTAAAACCCAGGCAGGGGGCAGACCAGACCGTCTTTGCAATCCTGCACGGCCCTGCTGCAGCAAAAGAAAACCCTTTAGTGAAAATAGAAACATCTTCAGCCAAGAGCCTAAAGGCCAGCTCCTCAATATAAGAAGGTTGCGCTCTATCTCAAATATATATATTTTTTAAATGAAACGAAAGGATGTGTTAATGTTACCGATGTGTTCACTCTTGATTAAACAGCGTTTTAGAGTAAGGGACTGTCAGGTCATTAGTGACAGCTGCCTCTTCCCTGCAGGGCAACCATTACTGGAACCTTCTTCAAAGAAACACTGTGTCTTTGCTAAAGTTCTCCAAGTCTACACCTTTCCCTCTAAATTAAGTAAATTAAGTCACAAGTGTAATTTTCCTGAATATATGTTTCAAAATGCTCTATGGGGAGCATTAGTGTTTAGGAAATAGAACCTGCCAGGGAAATTCTCCTTGTTATGAGCCCACACTGAGCTTGGAACGCGAAGGTGAAGGAACTGAGAAGGGAAATGGCCTCAGGTGACCAGTGACCGGGAGGGCTGCCCACACCCAGACAGGACAGGAGGGGTGGGCAGGGCAAATTCAGGACTCCCAGGCCCCCAAGGTGCCCTCTGGTGGCCTTCGGGGTGACATAAATGAGCTGGAGGAACACGTGTTGCTGATTTTTAGTCAGGGGCAGGTTAAATAGCACTATTTTCAAAGCACACTGCGTCTGGAGATTAAAAAAAATTTTAAAAAATCGATCACTTGAGGGAAAAAAAAAATCACCCTGAAAAATCCCTAACCTGCAAACACAGCTTTGATTGCAATTATTTCACAAATAGACACAAAATGCTCGACTGAGAAGTCACTCCACAGTTTGGAGTCGAGGGAGCACCAAGGGGGCGGGCGTGGGCTTCTGCTTCTCCGAGTCACCCCCTCGGATGGACTCTCTGCCTCTGGGAAAGGAATAGAAAAATCACAGACACACACACACACAGATACACAAAGACAGACGCACAGACACAGACACACACACAAAGACACACACCACCTTTGTCTGGATTCAACAGAAAGACGGTCTATGGAGAGAAGTCACAGAAGGTGGAAAATAGCCCACTCTCCTATTATAGTCGCAGCAGGGAAAAGAAACAAGCCCGAGAACATTGAAAAGGAGGCAACAGGATTCTCCCTCCCCTCCCTGGGGCTTACCAGGTCATCTTTTCCCCACTTATCCGAGTGGCTTTTGTCTTGATTGACCACGTAGCCGGGAGGAAGCCAGTTCACCGGGGGGTCAAATATGGACACCACCATGCGGCTGGGCAGCCCCTTCTTCTTCCCCAGCCGGTACAGGTTACAGTTGCTGACCTTCGGCAGAAACAAAGGCACAGGGCGCTTATCCAAAAGGGTTCCCGGCTAGAGTTCGCGCAAGCCGGAAGCCAAGCGCTGTCCTGACCGCTGGGACTGTCTGTCACCAGCGGGGAGAACTGCGTGGTCTTGAGTTGCAAAAGGAGAAACAAATCCCCCAAAACAAATGAGAGCCGTCAGGTAAGAAGACGATAACAGCTCTAACAGATAACAGACAATATAACGGATATAGAAATATGTAAATTCCCATGAAGGTCGACACAGTTAGGATCGTATCAGCCTTTCCAAGCACATTAGGTTACCGGATGCTAATTATTACCGGGGACTCTCGGAGGATAAAAGGGTCCCCGGGAAAGGAGCAGGCTGCCACAGTTCCCAGTACAGGGAAGCCTAGTCGGTTTCTGTTCTTCTCTCAAACAACAGCTCGAGGAGTTTAAGCTCGGCCATTTCCCCTCCACACCCAGTGCAGCTCCTGGCAACTGCTGGGGGGACCCCGTGGGAACAGGAACAGGCACCTCGCACATAATGCGCCCACCACGCTAGTCCATGAGGTGGCCTCCCTGGGCCCTGTTGAACCATTTCAAACCACAGCAAAGGGAACAAAGGGGGCCCCTGCTCATCCCTCCAGCTTTGCGGTTGGCTGTCCCCCACCTCCCCCTACCCCTGCACTGCGGAGCTCTTCGTTTGCACCTGGGATACAGGGCGCTTCACTTTTTTTAAAAAAATTTTTTTATAGAATCACCATGAATCACAGTTACAGAACTTTCATGTTTGGGTTTTAGTCACACAATGATCGAACACCCATCCCTCCACCAGTGCACATTTTCCACCACCAATGTCCCCAGTATCCCCTCATCCCCCACCTCCTCCTGCCTTTATGGCAGGCAATTTCCCCCATACTCTCTACTTTGGGGCATTGTGGTCTGCAGATACTGAGAGGTTATCATGTTTGGTCCTTTACCTACTTTCAGCACACAGCTCCCATCCCAAACGATCCCTCCAACCATCATTGACTTAACGATCCCCTCTCTATTCCAGCTGCCTTCTCCCCAGCTCCTGAGGCAGGCTTCCAACCATGGAGCAATCTTCCTGGCCCTTGTGTCTACTGTCCTTGGGTGTCAGTCTCCTATTATGTTACTTTATATTCCACAAATGAGTGCAGTCCTCCTATGTCTGTCCCTCTCTTTCTGACTCATTTCCCTTAGCACGATACCCTTCATCACCATCCACTTATAAGCAAATTTCCTGACTTCATCTCTCTTAACAGCCGCATAGTATTCCATTGAGGGCACTTCACTCTTTAAACAGAAACCCCCCTTTTCCCTCCAATGCTTCCTTGGCTGTGGAACTCGCCTCCCTGAGCTGCCCGGCTGGTTCCCCGGCGTGAGCACTTTTCCTATGTGGCCCCCAACTGAAAAGTCTCAAGAAACGCCCGCTTCCTTTCGGGGGAGCTGAGAAGGCAACAGGAGAGGCTAAACCAAGGGGCCCGGAGGCCGCCACATTCCAAGTGGAAGGACATGGGTGGTGGAGGGAGAAGGAAAAAAGAACTCAGGGGGGCTCAGGAGACACAAGACCCAGGGAGCACAAAGGGGCCCTTGGAGAAGGAGCCTGGCGTGCGGGCGGAGGCGGATGCACGTGGGGGGAGACAGCACTGGCGGTGCCTTCCTCGGGGCTGAGGGCAGAGACTGAGCAGGTGCAAGGCTGCAGTGGGGAGGGCGCTGCCACTCAGGCACCATCCTGGGGAAAGCTTCAGGGAGCTCTCGCGGGAAGACTGCCCCCACCATCTTCCTCTATGCAGCCATCCTGCCCAAGCTGCCAAAAGCTGCTTTCTCGTGCTCAATGGAACCTGAAGCTTCTCACCCCCCACTTCTGATGTCTCTGCACACCTCCCCCGGTACCGTTTCCCCGGCCACTGCTGTCATCTACACACTTCCTGCATCTGCAGCAGCCTGAAGAGTGGAAGGGTCGGTGTGTAGTGTCACTCCCGAGCCCGGCACTCGCTGGACCAGAGCTTCACTGTGTTCAGGAGCCACTCCTGGTGGGGAACGGGGTACCCCAGGAGGGTCCAGGATGGAGCAGGGGCTGGCCACGAGCAAGGCAGGTGCTTTCCCCTTTCCCTCTCTCTGCGGCCCTCCCAGTGCTTCTCAACTGAGGGATGCGTGGATGCTCCTAGTGGACCCCAGGGGAAAGCTGTGTAAGTGGGGGCAGCAGAACAGCATGTGGTTCGGGGGTCACAGGGCAGAGTGGAGACACAGAAAGGGAATGTGCTGGGATGACAAGCTGAGAGAAGTTTTGAGGAACAAGCAAGCACGGAGCTTGGTGCCCTCACGCGAGCTCCACCTGCCAGACGGGGTTGAGGCATCTCATGTCCAGGGCTCGGTGGGGCCTCCCCCACCCAAGTGGGGACAGTGATGGAGGAGGGTAAGTGCTCAAGGAGGTCCAGGAGGCACCTACCCGCCGCCCCCCACCATCAGTCCTATTGAGAGAGACCTGCGTGTCGACTTCGGCGGAGTCCGCCAAGGGGCCAGCCTGCTGGGACCTGACAGCCGCCCTTGGCGCAGACCCGCTGTCCCCTCTGGGGCCTATCTCACCTTCAAAAGAGGGGACATGCGGGGGCTGGAGCAATAGCACAGCAGATGGGGCATTTCCCCTGCATGCGGCCAACCCGGGTTCAATTCCCAGCATCCCATATGGTCCCCCGAGCACCGCCAGGAGTAATTCCCTGAGTGCACGAGCCAGGAGGAACCCCTGTGCATCGCCGGGTGTGACCCAAAAAGCAAAAAAAATAAGGGGGACACACCGGAGCCTGGCCAGAGGTCACCCCCAACACAAGTGTGCCCCACCAAACTCTGTCCTCGGGGACCCTGGCGCTGTGCCCCATTGCCACTGCTCCGTCTGTCCATCCCGCTCATGGCAAACACCCCACACCCTGTCTGCGTGGAGCTGCAATGGCACGTGAGCACCTCACCCCTCCACTCCCCCTTAGCACTGCACCAAAGGGGTCACGGCCTTTGCCCTGCATACGGTGGACCCAGGTTCGATCCCCAGCACTTCCCAAGGCCTCCTGTGCCCCTCCAGGAGTGATCCCTGAGCGCAGAGCCAGGAGAAAACCCGGAGCACCCTGGGTGTGGCCCCAAATCCTGCTACCCCCCTTATTATTATACACCTCCCCCCACCCAAAGCTTAATTGCATAACAAGTTTAAGAATGTGCTTTGGGCACCGGGCAGTAGCTATGCCAGGAGAGGGGGGAATCTCCAAACCTCAGAGAAGCCGCCTCTGAGAAAGGCCGGCTCTGCCCCCAGAGAGCACCCCCTAAACACCACGCAGCTCAGCCCAGGGATGTTCCACTACATGGTCTTTGCACCCCGTGGGATCCAGTGGGTGTAAAACACTCACCCAAGTCTTACTTCCATCTGCCTGCTCGAGGCACGTGGCCCGGCCACCTAACCAGCTCCCAGGTTCCCGCCAGCGCCCGGGAAAGCCCCGGCGGCCCGCGGCCCCCTGCCCTGCCCTGCCCCAGGGCCCGCGTCTCACCTTCTTGCTGCGCATGTAGGACAGGCGGCCCTCGTGGGCGTTGGGATAGGTGCAGAACAGGAAGGTGGTGATGGCGTGCTTCAGGAAGGAGTCCCCCAGCATCTCCAGCCGCTCCAGGTTGAAGCCGTCGCTGGCGTTGGACAGGGTGAGTGCCTGCAGGATGAGCCCGGGGTTCGGACCCAGAGTCCTCGGGGAGTGGCCGGGGCAGGGGCTCTGCGGGAGCTCCATCCGGTCCCAGGGTGCGCTGACCGCCGCCTCCGGGGTACCAGGCAGCGGCGCGGCCGCCACGGGACGTCCATCTGAGGTAGATGTGTTAGCGTTTCCGTCAAGGTATTTGTTACTCAGCAGAGTACATTCATCACTGGGCTGGGGCGGGGGCTGGTTCGCAGAGTTGTAGAAATTCTGAATGGAATATGAGGTAGGTTGTTGTTCAGGTATTTCCGGCCTGCAGTAATTCAGCTCGTCTCCTTGGCAAAAGTCTCCGTTCGCTACATCGCAACTGCCGTTGGCTAGGTTTCCGTGGTGGGCCAGGCCGTTGACGGTGGCCGCGGGGGGCGCGGCCCTGCAGCTCCCGGGGGAGGAGGGTGGGTTAGCACCTGGGTGGGCAGCACTGTCAGGGGCTACAGTTGTGCTGTGCTTACAGTGAGGGTCGCTCTCAGCGGAAGAGGAGCTCGTGGCCGAGATGAAAGACTTGCTGTCGATGGATCTCTTCCACCCGAAGTCCAGGTTGGGGTACCTATGGGGACAATTTGGGGTGGCTTGTTATCAGGAGAGCAGGGAGACTTAATTAGGAAAAAAAAGGAAAGACACACAAAAATCCCTTTTAAGTGATTCTTCTACATCGGGACACAGACTTGGGTAAGTCAGGAAACCTGGGGGCAGCCACAGAACCCCTAGATTGGCACCCCACTAGCTCGCTGGCTAACTCCAGGCCCTGCCCACGGCCCTCCACACCTCAGCTTCTCCCAATGGCAACCCCAACCTTACAGGAGTGTGGGCACAATGAAAGGGCCTCCAACAGTCAAAGCAGTTAACTCCACAAAGACCACTGCGGTGAGAACTCAGTATCTGGCCTGCCTCAACTCCTCCTCCCCCTGGCCCTCTAGGTCTGGCCAAGAGGCTCAACCAGAATCAGCGTCGATGGTTAAACCGATCATTTCCTTAGAGTCATTTCTTGAGACTTTACTGGTGGGCAGAAAAGAGCACGGGGAGAAAAACACAAAATATACAGAAGACACTTAAGTGCTCTGAGCAGCCCGTGACGGGGCAGGGACAACTGTCCTCATTCCAGCTGTCGTGTGAAGGGACCCATGACTTCACCCCTCATGGCTGCCTGAGAGCAGACCTCAGGGCTGGGGAACAGATGTCAATCCACCACTTAACAGACAGATAACGGCTGGCAGAGAAGGTGAAAAACGGGTTTTCACTTAGGAGACAGACACACACTTATTCCATCTAGGAGACGTGACCTCTCCCTTCTCGAGCCTTTGGAGAATTTTATATCAGGGTGATAGCATTGGATCTTCATGCGGTTCATCGCCCCTCCGGGACCCGGCCCGTGCTCAATGCAGCAGCCAACAAGACACACCTGAAGTCCACGGGGAGGGACCGGACCCCCACGCCGGCCTCGCTGGCCGTCTGGGCTCTCAGCTCCTCTGCGGTCAGAAGGCAGTGAAGGCGATAGAGGATGCTGGGGAGACAAACAGCCTTTCTCCACAGTGATGCTGGGATTGGATGGATCGCACAGAGCTCCGGAACCAGGATCTTTGCGTGAGGGGAAAGAGGGAGAGAGGTAAGAGAAAGCGAGCAAAATAGAAGGCCACCAGAAAGGAGGGAAGAAATCCAAGCAGCCATTCCAGGTCAGCTTCACTGACAGAGCAAGGCAAGAATTCTAAATAAGGGCTCGAAGATAGCTCAAAGGGTGGAGCACAGGCCTGGCGTGCACCGGGCATCCAGTTCGACCCCGGGTTACCCGCCCCCCCCCAAGCCCCCGCCCCAAGCACTGCTAGGGACAGCCCTAGTGGGCTCCAGCACCCCTGAGACCCGCCACTGAATCATCAAGAGTGAACCCCAGACCTCATGAGCGCAGGCTGGGAAGCCCCCTTCAAAGTCCTAACTACTGACAAATGTTCGACTTTGCAGTCACGACCTAATAGTGGCTGGGGAACCCTGAGGTGCCAAGGATGGAACCTGGGCCCCCACATACACAGTTTGTGCTCCAAGCCTTGGAGCCAACTCCCAACCCTACAATATTTTCTCTTAAAATACAATTTAAAGGGGCTGGAGAGATAGCACAGCGGGTACAGCATTTGCCTTGCACGCGGCCGACCTGGGTTTAATTCCCAGCATTCCAAATGGTCCCCTGCGCACCGCCAGGAGTAACTCCTGAGTGCAGAGCCAGGAGGAACCCCTGTGCATCGCCGGGTGTGACCCAAAAAGCAAAAAAAAAAAAAAAAAAAAAACCCCAAAAATTTAAAAATACAATCCACTGAGGCAAAATACAATTTATGAAATATTCACACAGATGTTATAATATTATCAACGTACCAAGTATAAAATTCCACCTCTCATACTTATCAAAACACATCCACATGAAAGTGGTCAGCTCATATTAGTTAAAACAAGACAAGGGGCAGGAGCAATCGTGCAGTGGGCAGAGCACTTGCCTTGCAGGTGGCCAACCCAGCTTTGATGCCTGTCACCACATATGGTCCCCTGAGCACAGGCAAGAATGAGCCTGGAGCACTATCTGGGATGACCTCCAACCCCAGAACAAAGAGGACAAAACAAGATCAAAGGGCTGGGTGATGCCCCCCCCCCCCAATCCCAGTGACTCAGAACGGAAGTCGGGCAGGCGGCGGAGCCTCACCTGTTTATTCTGCAGACTCTCCCACTTGGCTTTCCTCTTCTCGGCACTGCTCAGAGGAAGTGCTTTTCCCTTCTGATTCAAATGGCGAGGTGTCAAAAGATTGAGTCTGTGGAAAAGTCACAACGACTCTCAGACAAAAACCAAGCCCGCCCCCGCAGTGGTTCTCTGCAGGGTGCTCCCAAGTCACCCAGGGCGCTGGTTCTGCTGCCGCCCTCAGCCCCCGGGGAACCCTGGGGGCAGGGTCTCTCTGGATGTAGGAGTATTGGGGATGGGCAGGGGGCAGGGGGATGGGGCAGACGCGAGCTGACCTCGGGATGCAGCCATGCGAGGGACAGAGAATGCAACATCCCGAGCAGCCTACCTTGATGACGTGTGGTCAACGTCCAGCAGGGGCTGGTTGAGATTGGTCAGGTCAAGGTTGTACTTGGTTTTATAATATTCTGCAAACGTTTCATACTCGGGGGAAGGAAATTTACTCAGTGGGGTAAGATCAGTGTATACATCAGCAACATAAAATCGATGGGGCTGATCAAAATTGCGATATCTAAAAAAATAAAATGAAAAATCAATGTGGGAGATAAAGAAACATCGTAGGAGGGTGACAAATGCCCAAAGGCAACAGAACCTGAGAGCTGGTCTTCAGCAGGAAGCTGACCCGGTGGGGGAGGGAAGCGTGGGGTGCTAGAGGGTCTTAGGCATGAAACCCTACCATTAAATCACACTGCCTGAAACCAAATTTAAATTCCAACAGTGAATTTTTTAAAAATGAAACCTTTTCGAGAGCTCAAAAGGTTAACAATAAATAACACTAATGAAAACATCCACGCCAAATCAAGTTATTTCAAGCAGACTTGAGATAAGAACTATACACCCAATAAAACAGGATCCTCCTACTGGACTATTCCTCTCATTCTAAGTACACTTTGATAGCATATGAAAATTAAATGGCACCACTTGAAGTGCTTCATTTCATCAATATAAGCACCGTAGAAAATTTCCTATATCAAATTATTTTGTACATGATTAACCCAAAAGACACTTGCCATAAAGAAATGGATTACTATAGTCTGTGTGATAAAGAGTTTGATGACACTGACACTTGAAATATGGTCTATCAATTGGAGGAAAAATAGCAGAACCACCACCAATGACCATGGTAGTGAGATGTAGGGCGGAGGAGGGTGCTGGGCGGGGGAGGGGTGAGTAGGGGGGAGGGGGACCCTGAGCCATGATTGGAGGGGGAACGGACACTCGGGGACTTGAGGGCTGGAATGCTGTACACATGAAACCCCACAACTGACAGCAGTGGAAATCACGGTGACTACAATAATAAATCAAATTTTAAATTTTATCTAGGAAAACAAAAAATTACAAATAATGCTTTCCTTCAGGTGTCTGCATTTACCTGGATGGCTCTAAATCTCTCTCCTCTACATTTTTACGAAATCGGGGGTGAAGGGGGGGGGAGCAGATTTCCTATGTTCACATCACTTTAATAACATTATCAGAACAATTTTAAAAATTGAAAGAGACATGATTTATGACCAAGAGTTTTAGAGTATGGCTGCTGAGAATGGAAAGAAAGGAGATCTCGAGGAGAAAAGTTGGCAATCCTGAAACCCCAAGAGAATCTGAAGATCCATCTGTACGGTTCCTTTGGAAGAGAAGTTAGTCCCACTGTGAGCGAGAACAGACACCCGGGCCTTCCACTGATGCCATCGGGGGCCGCCCTCCCGGGGCTAACACCACAGCCCACCATGACTGCTTGGGAACAGGCAAACTTTGGAACCAAGCACCAGCAGCCCGTTGTCACCTCCCCTCAGATACCAACCTTGGAATGATAACTGCATCCTGGTAGTCTTCTAATTTGAAAACAAACGGTGATTCTTTTGAGTACTTTGTGTTGGGAATGCCTATGCGAGCTTCAGACTTCTCAATGTCTTCCATGAATTGAAAGTCAATGTCCAAAGTGCTGGAGTGATTAACTGTGGGGAAGAAAAGCCCTTTTCAGTGAGTAAGAAAATGCAGTGCCACCCCATCGACGCCACACTCAGGGGAATTAGTTTTAATTGACTTGAGGCAAACAGAGATTTTGGTAGCGTGCGTGGCCACATCCCCTATCAAGAGGACGCTCCCTGGGCAGCTGGTCTCGGGGAACAGCACGGGGCATCATGCTTACCAACGTTAAGAGGTAGGACACAGTACGCGGAGTCGGCGTCGGTGGGCTTGAATTCTAGTGCAGGCTTTTCAAGCCGAAGAATGTGCGAGAAGATATACTGGTGAAGCCGTGTGATCAGCTCCAGCTTCTGCAGCGACAGTGTGAACCCGGACTTCTTCAGCTCGATGGATATGGTGACCTCCCCGGAGCGCGTGTACACGGGGAAGTGCGGAATCTGAAAGGGAGAGAGAGGGCGCCCGCGGGGGTCAGGGGGCATCTCTCTGCCGAGCGCAGACGTGTTCAGGAGAGGGGTGACGCTGTCCCTGTCGGCAGGCTACAGAGATGCCCCGGCTCCCCAACAGTGAACAACTGTAGGGGGACTACGGGCAGATGGGGCGGACACAGCGTGACACTCCGACGGACCCAGACCCGGGGCCGGCAGCGCACCTGAGGTATGGGTTTGGCGGTCAGGATCCCGAAGCAGCGGGCAGTGTCTTCGGGAGGGTAGAGCTTCCGCCGTCGGAAGTTGAGCTCGTCGGGGAGCGGCGTGGTGAGGACCATCCCGATCACGTACAGGTAGCAGGGCTGGCCGGGCTGCGGGTAGCTCTCCCGCAGGCATTCCGGGATCTGGAATCGGATCGGGAAAAGGACAAATGAAGCTCGACTGCCTCTTGCGTGGACGGGGGCAAGAAAACAGGTTTATTCCCGGCATGCCTGTGAGCTGCTGAGGAAGTCAAGAAAAGGCGCCCGGCCCCTGAGTAGGCCCGTGACCTTCGGGAAAGTGTTCTCACTGGGGTCAGCGTTTCCCACACCCCACAGGGCCCCATGGCCCCACACAGCACCCCATGAGCCCTGGACATCAGTGTCAAACTTTCAGGGGCTATTTTAAAAAGGACGAATCACTTCATCTACTTGTTTTACTCTACAAATGCCCTTCTCCCGGGATCTGTCTACTCACTACACAACACAGGAATTAAATGCAAGGAATTTTTTTTTTTTTTACTCCCACATAATCCTGTTGCTCAAAGATAACCCTCTTTCTTTGTTTTAGGGCCACACTCAGCTATGTTCAGGGGTTACTCCTGGCTCTTGGCTCTGAACTCAGGAATCACTCCTGGTGGTACTCAAGGGGTTGCCAGGGATCGAAACCTACATGCAAGGCAGGTGCCCTACTCGCTGCACTATCTCTCTGGCCCCAATCACCCCTTTTCTTAATTCTTCGATATTTTGTCTTGACATATACACATGCACGTTTTCATTCAAGGTGAATCACACTGCAAAAACTGTGAGATAGCCTGGTCTCCTGTCCGAGCAATGAAAATACTCTTCAGGTAATTCAGAACTCCAGCAGCATGGTTTATAAGAGCTCTATTCGGTGAGGAAATCACACCTTGGAGACTGTGGCTGAACTCTAATTTTCCTCTAACCCTACCTAACAGTCTTTAGAGTTTCTATAGCTCCGTGACACAAATGCCCACACCTGTAGCGGGAAGCTCAGAAACGCTGGCTAAGAGATAGCAGAGGTACTAGAATGTCAAATAATCCAGAATCTTTAAGAAACAGGATACAGAGCAATTCTATTCTTCTCAAAATTGTTATCGATCAATACTTGTCATACACAACCAACCCAGGGATCTTTATCACGGGAAGTGACCGAGGAGACAAAAGGCACTTCAGGAAGATGAGTAGCATTTATGGTTTCTGGGTTTGGGGGCCACACCTGGTGATGCTCAGGGCTTATTCCTTGCTTTGCGCTCAGGTATCAGTCCTGGATGTGCTCAGGGGACCATACAGGGAACCAGGGATCGAACCCAGGTCAGCCACATGCAAGGCCAGTGCACTACCTGCTGTGCTATCTCTCTGGCCCCCCATGAGTGCTTTTAAAAAACTAGACATGATTTTTAAAATGGCGTTTGGCTGGACACAATGCTATTTCAAGTAAAAACTTGCTCAAAGGTGAAAAATAAAACTAAAGACGCCCATTTTCAGTCTAAGATAAAGTACGGTGCAGAAGTCTGCTGCTGTCTGGGCTTCTTAGGATGGAGACATCCACAAATGTCTAAAATTGGGGGTGGTGATTGCAGGTGACACCAAGCAGCACTGTGGGTGGTCTGGCCAGTTCAGAAAGTCTCTTTAAATAAAACCGGCTCATCCGGGCAAGAATCTGAGAGATGAGTCTATGAATCTTGGAGAAGTAAAATCTAAGCGATTCCTGAAGTAGGGGGCAAGCGCAGGGTGGAGAAAGGGGCAGGGCCGTGAGCGAGACACACTCAGGACCAGTAACAAGGACCACGGATGTCATGCAGAAGATCCGCTTCATGCCGGAACCAGAACCTCAGAACTGGAGAGAGACCAGGTGGTGACTCTGTCCTGACCAATACTAACTGCTTTCGGGTAGCACTGTCTTCGCTTTGTGGAACCTGGTCTTCCGGGAACACTGGTCTCTTCTTCATCGTGTAAGTCAAGCTCTTCTTCATACTTGACCGTCTCTTTCCCAACGGGCATCAAGTGGTCATCCAGTTCGCCTACGGAACGGAGAGAGAACACCTGCCATCCAGATTTGCCTCTAAGTACGAGCTCCAGCACGGCGCTAGTTCAGGCAGCGACAGGCCAAGTCATGGAGACTCAAGCATCTTTGCCTCTATGAACGCGGGCGGTCGTGTCGCACCCTGTGCTGGCATCCAGGAGCCAGGTTATAATTCTGTTCGGAAATTCAAAAAGACCAAACACCAAGGGGCAGGAGAGACGGGACAGGGGCTGAGGCGTCTGCCTCGCATACAGCCCAACCCCAGCGGGATCGCCGGCACCACCTGGGCCCCTGAGCACTGCTGGGTACAATTCTGGAGGGCCCCAGCCACCACTGGGGTGGGCCCGGATAACCCCGGGCACTGGCCCCGCAGGTGGGCTGGGAATTTCCGGGCCTTCCAAACACCGCCTGGGAAGTCCCCCCAAATAATTAACGTGGAAACAAAAATATAAACAAAAACACCTGAACACAGGCAAACAACACACGTCCCCTTCAAAGGCTGCGGGATGTGAGTCTTTTGGTCCTGTGTGATTGTTCAGGAATCCCAAGTAATGAAGCGCAGGACAGGCCCACAGCAGAGTGTGGCCCTGAGGGGCCCTTGGGCCTCACCGGCTAGGGCACCAGAGGGGCATCCCGAGGGAGTGGCCCCAACCCCATGGGATGGCAGGGGTCAGTGGCCTCGAGTCACATGGGCGGGCTGAATCAGAGGCGTGCTGGCATTCTGAGACGGCCTGGGAGGCTGAGAAGCCTCAGGCAGGTGGAGTGCGGCAGCTCCCGAGGCTGGTGGCTCGTGGGGTCCCTGCCGCTGCCCGGACCTGGCCAGGGCCCCAGTGCAGGGGCGAGGCCTGCTGAGGCTCCTGAGGTGCAGGGGTGCAGCTGGCCGAGCGAGCCCTGCCTATGTTCGTGTCACGAAGCTGAGGATTATTTTTGGCAGGTTTGGCACGTGCCCCTCAAACCCTCTTACCGATTTTGTGCAGTTTTTCACAGCAGATGAGTGCCACGGCTCTCTCGGCCCGTCGGACGCAATCCATGGGCGGGCCCTGAGGGTGACAGAGACATCTTCAGTGGGTCTGCGGGGGTCAGAGCCATCAGAGAACCACGCCGCTCTGCCGCCATACCCCTAAGTCAACCAGAACAAGGTGCTTTGTTTTCAAAAGCATCAGCAACTTAAAAAACAAACCAAAAAAAAAAAAAAAAAAAACGATTGGGGCCAGAGAGATAGGACAGTGTATAGGGCACTTGCCCAGCACCCCCTGGGGTCCCCTGAGCCCTGCCAAGAGCTCTTCCTGAGCACAGAGCTAGGAGTAAGCCCTGAGTACCACCGAGTATGGCTCCAAATAAAAAAAAAAAATGCAAAACAAAAACACAACAAAACTGATCTCTGCCTGTGAAACGGCCATCTTAAAAATGCAGCTAGTAAAATGTTCACAGTGATCAAGAGTTAACAAGTTGGACCCGTTTTACTTTCAGGAAGATTCGCATGGATTGGACTTTCCCGTAAGCTACATACTTATATAATGAGAAGGGGGTGGATCGGACGTGATCGTGAACACATGGGGTAGAGGTGCTGAACAAATGCCCAGGGGCAGCAGGGCCCCGTGTCCTGAACAGCCAGGACACAGCGGCAGGGGCTCGAGAGAAGCCAGTCAACCCTCCAGAATGAGCAAGCAGGGGAGCCACGGAGGCTAGAGCGAGAGCACAGCGGGGACGGCACATGCCTTGCACACCGCTGCCCTGGGTTCGATCCCCAGGAGCCCAAGCACCACCACGAGTGAGACCTGAGCACAGAGCCAGGTAGTTTTGTTGGGTGTAGCTCAAATAAACAAAAAATTTAAAAAAAAAAAAAGAAAGAAAGGAGGAGGAGAAAAGAAGCAGGGGTTCTACCGCTTGCCCCTGGTGCTGGAAATATCTCTATGAATAAAATCAGATCTTTGAGGAAAATCCAGCTGGAAATCTGTAAGTTATGCCATTTGCAGCGTTGGGAAAGAGGAGTGAGGAGAGGCTGCTAAAATCTCAGGGCTGGGACGAATGGAGACGTTACTGGCACCCGCTCGAGTAAATCGATGAACAACGGGATGACAGTGATACAGTGACACAGTGACGCCATTTGCTGGAGACAGCATGAGAGTTACAAACTGACTTATTTCAAGTCCATTGGCAAGCCAAACTGACCGATCACACTTGCCAAAATTTGCAGAGATGGATTTTAAAAAGCACTTTAAAGGCAAAATTCATTTCTTTTTCTAAACTTACAACAATGGAGTCTCGAAGAGGCGAGTTGATTGGCAGGTAAAGAGTTGAATAAAATGTACCATCGGGCAACTTCTGGGTTCTACATTTCGGAGCTAGATGAGTAAACGGGTCGCTGGGTAACCTCGCACAGTATCTGTGAAGAGCAAGAAATTCAGGTGCTCAACCTACCAGAGAGACTGAGACAGCGGTGCTGAGAGTCACCTCTCGTCCTTCTTCCCCTCCACCTGGACCTGGACAGCACAGTCCCAGCGAAGAGGACAGTGGGCACAGGCACCAGGGAGGGCAGCCACCATTGACCTCCTCCAAGTGAGCACTGGGCCCAGAGTCTACAGGGGTCTGTGGTCTTGGACCATCACTGCGGAGCCCTGAACCCACAGCAGAGACACAGCACTCGCGTCCGCTCCTGCATCTCACACTCACAGGCTGGCACATGGGGACAGCGTGAGGCATTGCCAAGGGCCGGCAAGGTGGCACAGCCTGGCTCAAAGGCACAGTCAGAGCAGGAACACGGGGGGGGGGGGGGGGAGAGAAGGGGGAGTGGGGGTGCGGGCTGACCCCAGCTGGGTTGGTTTCAGCAGCATGGTTTTTTGTTTCATCTTTCCCCTGGCACCCTGTAGGGTTCCCCAAGCCCTGCCTGGAGTGATTCTGGGACACAGCCCTGAGCACCACCGAGCATGATCAACCCCCTCACCCCAAATGAAGTCTTAGAGGGGTAAGAGCAGGGCAGAGGGGTGGGCGGGTGCTGAGGCCCACAGGCACGCAAGGAGGGTGGCAGCTGCCCCAGGGGAGCGGGGCAGGGGTGGGCCTGAGGCCATCAGGGCAGTCCGAGAGCATGAAGAGGAGGTGGACAGAGGGTCTGGGGTCCCGGGGCTGAAGGATGAAGGAGGAGAGTAGGAGAGGGGAGAGCAGCGGGGGGCTCTGCATACGAAGACGGCCACAGGGACCAGGCTGGGACATACTTGGGTATCAGCATGGGCCAGCAGGGTGTGGGGGTATCCTAGCCAGGCTCCATCTCAGACACGAGTGATAGGAGCAGAGAGAGAGAGCAGGGCTGCCTGGGACTGCGGTTTACCCAGCACTGCAGAGCGTGCCCTGAGCACAGCCAAACGGGCCCTGCCAGGCGTGTCCCCACAGCAAGATAATGGAACGACAACAGCAACAACAAACTTGATAGAAGTCAAACCTCCCGAGAGCTGCAGGAGGAGGACGTGCTCAAAAAGACACGGACGCGAGCCTGAAGGAGCCAAAAGCAAACAACGGCAGCGCCCAGTTGGTCAGGGGAGACCCGGCCCGTCACACCAGCCTGGGAAATACAAGGACGACGGGGAGCAGGGAGAAGGCTGTTCTGGGGCTCAGGGCAGCCTTCCACACCCGCACAGCGTCCTGCAGTTCAGTGAGGCCGCCACAGACACAGAAAGGATGGGAGGGAGGTCGGGAGGGGGCGGGGGGAGGACCAGAAAAATATCATGTCCCCAACACCAGGACAGCGGGAGCAGCCCAGGAGCCCAGGGCAGGAGGTAGGTGAACCTGGGACCCGCTGGCTGGTCAGCTGGGCCCGCAGCTGACCAAGGCTCAAATGGACACAGCAAGGGGCAGCCGGCTGTGAGTCCCAGAGGGTCGGTCACGCGGGTCCGGGGATCTGAAGCGCTTCAGCCAGAGGAGACAGAGAGCAGAGGGAAGTGAGCACTGCCCAGGGATCCAGGGAACCATGAACCTGGATCTCTGGGCAGGGCCTGCGGGAGCTCTTTAGAGAACTCGTGCAACGTGTAAAGGTGGAAATGATTTTCAGTTGAGAAGCTAAAGAGAAAGGGAGCAACTGCCTATATTTTGCCTCTGCACAGCCGGTTCCTGGGGCAGAATCTAGAAATGTGTCCTTGGCTTAGTTCTTAGAAATACCATTTCCAACTGAGGATACATTAGCACCTTCTCAAAGATACAAATTAGCAGAACGTGACCTTACACTGTTGCTATGAATCCAACACCTACTGCACAGCACAGCAACATTCAGGACTTAGAAAGAAACACTGTAAAAAGTGAACTAGTGAACATTGTAAAAAGTGTCCTCTCATGCAAATAAACACATCTTCAATATGCCTATGGTGATCTCTTCATGATAATATTTTTGCCTTTTCAAAACAAAGAGAAATAAAGGGGGGGGCACAACTTCTTTCTCACCCAAATATTACAAGCCACGAATGAAAAGACTCACAGTGGTCTGCAACAGGCAAAACATGGTACAACACTTGTAAACAGAAGAGAAGATGGGAGAGAAGAGAGACAAGAGGGGAGGGGAGTGGAGAGGAGGGGAAGGGGAAGGAAGAGTAGGACAAAGGAGGGGAAGAGAGAGGAAGGAAGGAAGGAAGGAAGGAAGGAAGGAAGGAAGGGAGGGAGGGAGGGAGGGACAGAGGAAGGGAGGGAGGGAAAGAGGAAGGAAGGAAGGAAGGAAGGAAGGAAGGAAGGAAGGAAGGAAGGAAGGGAGGGAGGGAGGGAGGGAGGGAGGGGGGGAGGGGGGAGGGAGGGAAGGAAGGAAGGAAGGAAGGGAGGGAGGGAGGGAGGGAGGGAGGGAGGAGGGAGGGAGGGAGGGAGGGAAGGAAGGAAGGAAGGAAGGAAGGGAGGAAGGGAGGGAGGGAGGGAGGGAGGGAGGGAGGGAGGGAGGGATGGAGGGAGGGAGGGAAGGAAGGAGGCCTGCAGTTGCTTGTTTTCCACGCAGACACTCTGGCACGCACCTGTTGATGTGTCCAATGGCCGTGTTGATGGTGACCTGGGGGCCGTCCGGCCTCAGCACGTACGGCGGGAATGTGTCCTCATCGTCCACCACGGGCTCGACGTCAGCCTCACCACTCTCGACTGACTTGGAACATTTATTTCTCAAGATCTGGACATTTGAAACCCAGATTTTAGGGTGAGGAGGAGACCCACTCTGCCGCCTGCTCTCTGGCCCGTGTCCCCAGGGAAGGCCCAGCTCGGACACGGGACGCCACGTGTCACTGCTCCAGAAGAATCGCGGGTTGCTCAACCCCCACCCCCCCCACGCCCACCCTCCCCCAGCTCTGGTGCGGAGAGAGACACTCGCCCCACGCCAGAACACACCACTGCGAGAAGTCACGGGCCGGGAGAGAACCCTCCCTGCTGTCTTCCCAGCAACCCAACATAACGTTTCCACTCATTCCTAACTCTTTCCACTCTCTGAACATGTCCACATTCCTCTACCCCATCGAGATCATTCTTGGTGATTGCAAAAAAAAAAAAAAAGAGTTTTAATCTATTCTGATACATATCCAACACTCAAAAGATACATTAACTTTCAGTTCCTACCTTCTCAATAGCTTTGTACGTTTTCAGGTCTTCTTCAAAACTTTTGATTTTGTCGGTATCTGCTAACATTATGTAATTAGAGATGGGGGCCCTGGCTCTCCCCTTGGACTGAACATAGGATCGATACTCTGTGGGCAAATCAAAACGAACCACCAAGTTGCATTTTGGAATATCAACACCCTCTTCCACAATACTTGTTGCAATAAGCAGGTTGGTCTCATGTGCCCGAAATTTTCTAAGTACCTAAAAAACAAATTCACCAAAAAAAAAAAAAAAAGAAGAAGAAAAAGAAGCAATTCTAAGAAATTTTCCAAGGAAAACATCATGGTACAAGTCAGTGCCAACAATCATGCCCAGCACCGCATCTCCGGCCACCCTGAATCTTTAAGGCTACAACGAAGAGGAGGTTCTCGTTTCTGAAAACTGAGACCAGGATCACACTGGTGAGCTCTGATTTAAGGGCAGTTCATGATTTTAAGAGCATTTAAAGAGGCTTTTGACCTTACATAAATACCCACATGCAAATCACAGAACCCCTTCACATCAAAGAATACAGCTCCTTTCAAAGAATACAGTTCCCTTGAGAGGGAACTAAGGAACAAAGTGGGTGAACACATGCACTCTGGGGCCGAGCTACATGTCCCAACCCCTCGGTAACAGCCTGTGAGGTAATTCTGTGCCAACCACCCCCACCACCCCCCAAAAGATGTCCAAGCCCTTTCACTGGGATCCCTCATCACTTGGAATTAAAATCACAAAAAATCACAAGCTTTTTTCCCTGACATCTTAGGACGTATGCAATGTTGGGGCATCGGAGCCTATTAAAAATAAACCAAAACCTTGTTTCATAGTAGATTTAAAACATCATTCCCCATGTCCCAGTACTACGGTGAGTTGGTTTTTAGGCAAATCTATCAGATTCTGACTCTTACACTTGGAATATTATCAAACAGCTCTAACACAGAAAAAGGCTTCAGCATGAATTACTCTGCCACTTTTAAGTTAAATAACTTTTAAAAGTTTTTGTTTGGGAGCCAGATATTATATTGGGTTTTAGCTTTAGCATCTTTTACAAAGTTATTTCCTGTAAGAAATCCCCACCCCATTTTTTAATTAAAAAAAAAAAGCATAGAACAAAATAAAGCCAAAATCTTTAAAAGAAAGTGCTGTTTTCTGAAATATTCATCCAAGGTAGCACTTTATATTTTATTTTTTATTATTATTATTTTGGGGGGGTGGTCACACCTGGCGATGCACAGGGGTTACTCCTGGTTCTGCACTCAGGAATCACCCCTGGCGGTGCTCAGGGTACCATATGGGATGCTGGGAATCGAACCCGGGTCGGCCGCGTGCAAGGCAAACGCCCTACCTGCTGTGCTATTGCTCCAGCCCCCAAGCACTTTACATTTTAAAAATATAAAGGAGGAAGGCGTGACGAGATAGTATAGGTCTTGCCTCACATGCAGCAGACCCAGGTTTGATCCCTGGCATCCCATATGGTCCCCTGAGCATGGAGCCAAGAGTAAGCCCTGAGCACTGTCAGGTATGACCCAAAAACAGGGAGGGAGGGAGGGAGGGAGGGAGGGAAGGTTCCTGCTGGGCATTGAGGCCGGCCAGCAGCCTTGGACCCTCTGGAGCCACTTACTCTTTTTCTGTGCAAGCAGTTTGGTGTCATCAGTCCAAATAAAGGAGCTGAAAAGGGTGATGACAATTTGGCAGAAAACTGGTGTATCCGATAGCTATTCTAATCCCAAACATCTGAGAGGCAAGAGAGCGGCCTCACAGCAGACGGGCCCTGCCCGAGACACGTCTTGGCGATTACCAGAGCAGGCGGAGGGGCCGCGACGAGGGGGGCGCCCCTCTGGGCAGCGCGTGTCTGGGTTCGGAAAATGGTTATTGCTCCATTACGCTAAGTTACCTCTTCCTGCTTGCGGAATTCGGCTTCCATCTGTTTGTTCCGAGGCTGGTTCTTTCCGATGCCGTGTCCGGTTATGAAGTTGCTGCTGATGTAGGCCAGCTCGGGGTCTTGCTTGCCGGCCTCCTTTATCAACCTGGGAAAATTACACGCGCGCAGAAGTCAAGCAGAGCGGAGGGGAGAAGCTTCAAGTTTTGTGCGTGGAGCCTTCCCTAAAATAAAAATCCACGACTCTTTTGTTTTTGGTTTTGCTGGCATACTTCACAGTCTTGGGTTTTGGTTTTGTGTGTGTTGTTAGGGGAGCGGGGTTGTTGGTTTTTTCCAGACTGCCTTCACCAGAACTCACTTCTACTCTTCATATATAAAGCTGTGGCCCAAACACTGGCACCAGCAAACAGACGGCAGGGGCGGGGCCGGGGGGGGGGGGGTTGCAGTGGGGAACAGGCCCAGGAGGGGACAGAGTTGGGCACCAAGAAGCAGGGACCCTGTCTGGTTTGGCTTCAGACCACGCGTGTGCGCACACACGCCGACACACAGGTATCTCTAAACACGCAGACAGCTTCCAGCGGAGCTGGGAACACACCAAACTCCCAGCCTGAAGTGTTTCTCCAGTCACGGAATCCCCAGGTGCCCGTCTGGGCAGTAAGAGCCGGGACTCTGGCTGAGCCTGAACAGCTGCAGGGCTATTCCCGGAAAGCTCAGCCGCATCCCTGTGCTGCTCAGTTCCTCCCAGCACGCTCCCTGGCCCTGGACCTGGACCTCTGGCCACAGAAGAGAGGCTGGCCCGGGGCCCTCTTCCTGCCACCTCTCCTGTGTTAAGGAGTGTCCGTCCGCTTCAGGTGGCCTTCGGCAGAGGAGCAGCCACGGCCCGCGGCACGGCATCGTGTTACAGGGTACAGAGGGCCCGTCAGCACTGCCATTGCGGCCCCTCTGGAAATAGCCGCCTTGAACAACTCAGCACACAGGATAAATGGTTGGTTCCACACCTGATGTAAGTGATCCCAGATGGCTCCTCTGAAGTCATTCGACCTAGGATAAATTCCTAATAGAAAATTGCATTTTTAAGTCAAACCATTCTTTTTCGTTGTTGTTGTTAATACCCGAGACAGACGAATATCAAAGAGCAAGAAGGACCTTGGGCAGCCAGCTAGAGTATCTCCCTGCGTCCTTGTCAGTGAGACACTGGCACTGTCTGGTGTCAGTTTGAACGTCTACTTGGCAGCTCAGGTACTTAAAATATATCCAGAACCTGAAACTTCCTACATCCCGGCTCTACTAGGCTTCATACTAAACTCTGACCGAATCCGAAAGCAGCGTCAGATGCAACCAAACGGCATCTCCAGAAAGCTACAGAGCCAAATGCAGCCCGCTTCGATGGATGCCTGGGAATTTGAACTTATGTAAATAGGCAGCAATATGATGTAATAAAGCCCCCCCCCCACCCCAAATTGCATTCCAGGTTACCCCTAATTAGGCAACGAGTGTGTTTACTCTGGCACGAGCATTGACGTGGGTGACTTTCATTAGCTGAGAAGTGAAGGCTTGGAGCGAGCGAGCAATTTCTTGTCATAAACCCGCCTCGGGGCTGCAGGGAGGGACCCAAAGCAGCTGCGAATGAATGAAGCAGGGACCACATGCTGACCGTCCCTGTGACAGGGCTTAGCGGGAGACAATTCTCTGTCACGTCCCTAATGTGAGCTGAGGCCAAGCAAGAGGCTTCCGGCAAAGTAGAGTGAGGGTGGCGGCCGGCAGGGACCGTCCAGGCTGGTGTGTCTGACCTAATGTCCACCTGACTTCTTGCCCCCATGCCCCGGCACGCTGTCCCCATCCTCTCAGCCCTTCCTGTCCACGAAGCTGCCGCGGACAACTCCCTGCTCTTTTGGTCATTGCAAATCCATCCAAGACCCCTGTGTGGCTCACAACCCCATACACACGGACCACTAAGATATCCGGAAAGCATGAGTCCCCCCCACCTCGCACGGTCTTGGGGGTCTCCAGCTGCTCACTCCAATCTCCGCATCTCATTCACCCAGCTGACTCCGCGCATGCCCACGTCCGGGTTAGAAAACCAGCCAATGTGTGGAAGAACTCACTTATGCAAGAAACAATCTAAGGGGGGGGGAGGGGAGGGATTCAAAGACGAGCCCTCAGTCCTGCCAAGGGCCACGCGGCCGGCAAAGGCCCTCAGTGATGCCCCCTCCTGGAGCTCAGTCCCTGAGATGGTCCGACATAATTCCTCAAGGGTCTCACCATGACACAACCCCCATGTTGCACAAAGAATGTGAGATGCCTGTCCCCTGCAGAACCCTAGGAAAGGTCCTTTTCCTCTATGCTGTCTCTCTTATTTGGGGTTTATTTTTGGGGGGGGGGGGGAAGTCCCTTGATGGTGGACTCTGGGGCCATTCTGGATTCAGAAGTAGCGCTGGCCATCATGACCTGCAGTGCCGGCGGAGGGGGTGGGGGGTGGGAATCCATGTGGTGTGAGGGATTGAACCCGGGTCTCCACATGTAGAGCCAGTTCTCAGCCCACTGAGCCCGCTCCCTGTGTCATCTCTCCTACATAGCCCAGCGAGAGAAAAGTCGCACTGCCAGGATCCCGTGGCCAGGGACTGGAGAGACAGTACAGCAGGTGGGGCGCCTGCCTTGCACGCCACCAACCCAGACATCCCGTATGGTCCCCCTCAACATCACCAGGAGTGACACCTGAGTGCAGAGCCAGGAGCAACTCCAGAGCCCCACTGGGTGTGGCCCCAAGACAAAACAAACTAAGACGACCCTGAGGCTTTGATAAGCTCAGCAGCTGCTAGTGCCGGAGAGCCAGTACAAGGGTGAAGGCTGCAGCGAGTTCGAGCCCTAGCCCTGCAGAGTCCCTGACGCCTGCCAGGAGCAAGCCCTGAGCAGGACCCGGTGTGGCCCCAAAACAAGACCCCACAACCAAACATGACTGCCACTCAATGCCTCTTTTGCAGACTACAACACCCAAAAGGAGAGAGAGAACAAAAGGGAATGCCCTGCCACAGAGGCAGGATGGGATGGGGGGGATAGGGGGTGGGAGGGACACTGGGATCCCTGGTGGTGGGAAATGGGCACTGGTGGAGGGATGGGTACTTGATTGTTGTATAACTGAAACCCAAGCACAAAAATTTGTAAGTCTATAACTGTACCTCATGGTGTTTCACTAATAAAAATTTAAAAAAAAAAGAAGTAACTTCCACAAAATGCTGATTTCACTAGTGGGTGGAAAGAAGGACTGGGTCCTAAGGGCGGAAACAGAAGGAACGGCAAGATGTACAGGAGGACAGCGCGAAGAGGCAAGAGTGGGGGAGGGGCAGGACACACGGACCTCAGGGCAGCCCCAGCATGGAGGGAGACCTGAGTCCCCGGCCTGACGCCTCCAGCCCAGCGAGGGAGCCCCTCTCCCCCAGGTCACAATGAGGGTATGACCGAGGGACACAGGACTGTACCTCGGGGGCTCCTAGCAGTCCATGGGGGCAGGAGAGGCAGAGCGGGAACAACCGAAGCAGAAAAACCAGGCAGCATTAGACTTGATTCCAAAGCACAAAACGCGTGAGCCCACTGTAGCACTGTCCTCCCATTGTTCATCGATTTACTTGAGTGGGTACCAGGAACGTCTCCATTGTGAGACTTGTTACTTTGCTTGGCATATCGAATACGTCACGGGGAGCTTGCCAGGCTCTGCCGTGCGGGCGGGATACTCTCAGTAGCTTGCTGGGCTCTCCAAGAGGGCCGCGTGCAAGGCAAACGCCCGCTGTGCTATGATAAAAATGATAACTAGGATGAAAAGACAAGTTTTCCTTAGGGAAGATTCTGAAAATAGGCCTCAAACCCTCCCCTACGCTGAGAGCAGCAGGACTTGGCAACAGCGGCTATACCATTGAAAAGGTCAAAGGGCAAGCCGGGCCTCTACCCAAGTGGTGACCTTAGACCTAGGCTGCCACAGTGACGCTTCCCGCTAAACGTGACCCCGAGGGATGAGACAGGCACTTCAGTTCCATGCTGTTTCCTAAAGGCTGCGCCCCCCCCAACCCTGCACCCTGAGACACACAGGTGCCAACCCCCACTCGCGCAGCGGGGGCTGGGGCTGCCACCCCGAACGGCATCCCCGGCCCTCGGGCTCCATCTCTCCACGCTCGGGGCCGCCTCACTGAGACAAGCCCTCCGTTGTGTCCGCAATTAGCAGCCCGCAGAGCCTGCCGCAAACCTCTCGCTTCCGCGTCATCGAGCGGGAATTCCAGGCACTTTTTATGAAAATTGATCACAATTAATCTGATCCTCCGAGTCCAGAGGAAGCCACTGATTGTTGGCTCGGCCATGAGAGCTGGCACGACTCCACATACGAAGGGGAAACTGCAGCGAAAAGGGGAAGGAAAGACAATCACCCCTGCCCCCACCCTTGCTACCCTCCGGGCTTCAGAAAACACAGTTCTCGCACTGTCCTCTCAGGACCAGGGAAAACGTCCACCACGGAGAACTCCGCCAACGCTAACCCTGGACCCCATGCCTGGGCCTCCAATCTAGGCTGCCCGTGGCCAGCCCGGGCGCTCCTGGCAGGCTTTCCACCAGCAAAGAGCTGGGGAGAGAGAGAAACAGAGTTGGGGAGAAAGAGAGAGGGAGGGAGAGAGAAGTGGATGGAGAAAGAAAGAGAGGAGAGAGAGAGGGAGAGAGAGAGAGAAAGAGAGAGGGGGAGAGAGAGGAGAAAAACAGAGAGAGGGGGAAAGAGAGAGGGAGGGAGAGAGGGGGTGGATGGAGAAAGCAAGGGAAGGAGAGAGGGAGGGAGTAAGAAAGAAAGGGGGGAGGGAGGGAGAGAGAGAGAGAGAGAGAGAGTACGAGCTCACTGTGTGCTGCCTGGGGCATGAGCATGAAGAAAGAGCCGAACACTCAGCTAACAGGACCCCAGAACCATCTCGGCAACCAACCAGCAATTCACCTCCAAACAAACCACTTTTCCTCCCAGGGTCCTTCCTATTTTTAATAAAAAAATAAGTGGGTTGGATTAGAGGCTCAGAGAAGCCCGCTTCCAGCCTGCAGCTCCTGATTTCTGTGGGATTCACTACCTAGAGTTCTTTGTGGCTCCATCAGAAGGATCAGGCCTGATGACGATGGAAATTACCAGGCTGCAAACTGCCAGGGGGCTACCCCAGAGTCCAATTTTGAGTTACTCGGGTACGTTTTGCAAAGCCCCCAGTCAGTCAGAAGCAATTGAGGGATGGGGGTGGGGGGGTGGAAATCCCCAATTACTGCAGGAAACCAAGAGTGATTTTTCCTCGGAGATTGTGCTTGCTCTTGGAATTCAAGTTTGGCCAATTAGTGGATGCTGGGGGCGGGGGGGGGGGGAGCGGATGGTCTGAAGCATCAAATAAGGAACCAATTGGGGGCCCGTCTATCATGTGATACACCGGTCGACTTGAGCAAGGGCCGTAGGGGAAGGGACTGTTTACACGGAGGAAGTGCAGACGCACAGCTGGATCGGGAGAGAGAGAGAGAGAGAGAGACTGCTGGGGGAGGGGCGGGGAGCCCCCTCAGTGCGAGCCGCCATCCTTGGCGTGCTCACTCGCGCGCCCCCCCCCCCCCCCCCCCCCCACCGCCCAGTGAATGGATCCAAAAGGAAAATTCTGACTGTCTTAGCCTCCAGCCCTGCAGAGTGGTGAAGAGGTACCTCCGCTTCCACGGAAGCAAAACGCCCAGGAAAGGGCAAGCATACTCGGCCCCACGGTGCTTTAGAGGGGAAGCCGCATCTGACTTGGTCACAGATTAAAGGATGATGCGTGGAACTGAGCGATTCCAGGGGGACGAGGGGCGAGCCCGCACTCCCGCTGAGAGTGCTCAGAAGAGGCAGTCCCTCTGGGAGCACCCCCGGGTGGCAGGGGCCCTTGGGGACCGCTGCTCAATGCGCAAGCACCGTGCTCCCCACCCAGCATGACTCGTTGTGTGTGTCGCGATGGCACCAGCACCCCCTCTCGGCGGGGCACGTACCTGTTTAAGACGACTGCCGTGTATCTCCGCTCCACAAAAATAATCCCGCACAAAATGTTGGTAAACGGAGAAGGGAAATTGGTCTCTGGCTTCTCTTTCTCTTCAATTTCTTCGTCGTCGTCATCCACCTCGGAATCACTCCAAGACACGTAATTATCCTGATTCCTGTTATTGTACCACTCGACGCTCTCGAACTGCTGGCGCTCGTAAGGTTTGTATTTGCGCAAGATCTCGAGCAGTTTGATCACTTTCGGAGTCACGAACCTCAGGTCGAGCGAGGCAGGCGAGAAGTGCTGCTCGCACAGCGCGTGCACCTTCCGCAGGAAGGTGTCTGCGAACAGCAGGAACTTCCTGTGCAGCCCCTCCTGCTCCTGCTTGATGTACTTCTGCAGCTCCCGGACCATCATGCCGGCCACCTTGTCCGCACACCACGGCCCCAGGACGACCAAGACCTCACGGCAGTCCGACAGTATCTACGAACAAGATGCCAAGAGTCAAAAGGCCAAGTGGTGACCGCCTGCCATGTTCATGGGCGGCCGAACTGGGACAGGGCTCCATTGCAAATGAATGAATCTGGTGTCAATGAATTCGCCCTGTCAAACGAATCTGGCGTCACCAACAGAAATCCTGGGGCTGATCGCCCAAGGCCACGGAGGGGCCACTGATCTGTTCAAGCCCCACTTCTCCCAATGCTTATTATTCACGTATACGTCTCAGGTCATCCTTGCCCCGCCCCCCCCCCCCCCATGGGAAGGGCAATAATCTAATAGAAATTTGGACTGATGCAATAGGACAGCAGGTGACCTGGGTTTGGTCTCCAGCATCCCATATGGTTCCCCAAGCACTGCCAGGAGTAATTCCTGAGTGCAAAGCCATGAGCATCACCAAGTATGACCTGGCCGGGGGGACGGGGGAGAAAAAGGAAAGGAAAAAAAGAGTAAAAGATGCAACTGTTGAAAGTTAATAATAAAAGAGAGATTGAACTCTGTGATGGGTTAGAGGGACAGATGAGTCCCATCTCTAGACATCATGTGAGGAATTATATCAAGCAGGGTGATTTTATTTTAGAAATAAAAGACAGTTGAATGCTACCCCCTTCAACTTTCAGTTCAGCAGACCAAGGTGGGGAGAGGAAGAGGGGGGATTGGGGGGATAACTTGCACTTCTAGCAAGTTCCAGGGGAGATGCTGACTCTACCAGTTGGGGCCCACACTTCAAGCAGCACTGTTCTGAGGGGTCTCCTCTCAAAAACCGCACCACTCAGAGGGTAGATAAGATAGAGAAGAGACGGCTATGACAATAATAGCTGGGAATGATCACTCAGGAGGAGAGCTGAGGGTCAAAAGTAGGTAAAGGGTATTTTTGATAACCTTTCAGTATCAATATTGCAAACCACAATGCCCAAAAGGAGAAAGAGAGAGAGAGAGAGAGAGATAAAGGAGAGTCAAAGATGCAACTGTTGAAAGTTAATAATAGAGATATTATATATAATAATGAGAGGATAGACACACACACACACCTCCCATAGAGGAAAGGGGCAGGCAGGGGGTGGGGGGTGTTGGGAGGGAACCTGGGGACTCTGGTGCTGGGAAATGCACACTGGAAGGATGGGTGGTGGAACACTGTATGACTGAAACCCAATCATGAATAGCTTTGTAATGGCCTAAATCACAGTGAAAAAAAAAAAAAAAACACTGCAACACTCAGGACTGAGTTACAGGGAATTACAGGGAGAGGAGACCATGGAGGAATTTGTTTAGCCTGAGGATGTATGTGGATGTGAACTCCTTTGACCAAGAGGAAGAATTAGGCTTACTCCTTCTCTGTGAATCACTGTGAATCACCTAACCCATCTCATAAAACCAAAGCAGTCTGCACTGCCTGATGTAAAGCTCTGTCACTATTAATTAACTCCATTCAATAAGTATTTATGAAAAATGCTGAGAGATAAGGAGGTGAAGCCTTTGAACTAAAATGAACAGGAAACAGAAAAAAAAACACCCCTTTGGAAGTGTATTTTCATTTAAACGTCACAAATAAAGGGAAGCCCTCTCTGATACTTCCTGTACTTGCTTTGTTCCGGCTTACCTGTTTAGAAATTAAAGTAGAATCTCTTTCTTTTGAATGTACAGATATGTTACAGTCATTGATAAAATTAAGTGCATCTTCTAACTCCATCAGCAGTCTCTCGTACAGCCCACTCCGGTCAGCAAATGGTCCGCAATCCACCACCATCTCACAGGGCTGAGAAGTGCATCTTTGGGACCAGAGGTGACAGTTATCAGTTACACAGTGAACCCATGACAGCTTTATGATCCATTACATCCCTGAAACAAAAATGAAACTTCCTGCTTCCAGTATGTATTCCAACTCAGGGTTTAGGAAAGCTCAAAACAAGCCCCCCTAAAATGGTATTCACTTGAGTCTGAGTATTTTTGCCCTAGGTTTTAATGAACGATGCATAAGGCTCAGAGCCAAGGATTTTGTGATTTTTTTATGACTATTGCAGCCTTTCGGGTGTGGTTTTTGGTATTGGTGTTTTAAGTTTTAATTTTCATCTCTTGCTCCTTTAGGCATCAACAAAAATGAGAAACAATGTTCATTTAAATATAAAAAATATCACCATGATTACTTCCTCAGAAGCAGAAACAGGAAAGGGGCCAGGGTAGCGTCATATCATAGGGGTTAAGTTTTATCTCCAGAGATGCCTACTATATGAAAGATTTCCCTACTATATGAAAGGCTTAGCATTTGCAAATGTCAATTTTATTTTAAAGGGATTTTGTGTTTGCTTGGGGGCCACACCTGTTGGTGCTTGGGGCTTACTCCTGGCTCAGCACTCAGGGGTCTCTCCTGGTGGGGCTCCAGGAACCAGGTCAAAATACTGGGGATTGAACCAGGGTTGGTTGCATGAAAGGCAAATACCCTAACTCGGCCCCTTAAATACATTTTTAATGTGCCATCGAAAGAAATCATTCAGAAATACTGAACCCTAGATCTTTCATGCCTTTCATAAAATTTAGCCACCATAAATACACATACTATTTTTTTTAAAGCACAAATAATAGTGACTTAAGAAAATGAGCAATGGGGGTTGGAGAGATAATCGAGTAGACAGGACTCTTGCCTTGAAAGCAGCTGACCCAAGTTTGACCCCCCAGCATCCTTATGGCTCCTGGAGTCCTGCCAGGAGTGGCCAGGAGCAGCGCCAGGTGTGGGCCCAAAAACAAGAAAAAAAAAATGAGGGGCCAGAGCAATAGCACAGTGGGTAGCGTGTTTGCCTTACATGCAGCTGACCCAGGTTTGATCCCCGGCATCCCATATGGTCTTCCACGCACCACCAAGAGTAATTGCTCAGTGCAGAGCCAAGAGTAACCCCTGAGCAAATCTGGGTGTAACCCAAAAAGAAAGTGAAAAATAGCAGTAACATCTTTAGATGCCAGGTTTCTGCTGTTTCAACCCAAATCAAAATTTAGATTTAACTAAAGACTCCCATTTAGGAGTGGGTACTGATCCATTCCAAACACGTGCTCTACTCCTCAGGGTTCCCCCCCACCCTCGTCCAAGGACTGGGGACGGTCTGCAGGTAGAAAAGGGTTGAAACCCACTCTCTGATCCTCTGCTTCTGGAGGCTCCAAACTGTGCAGGCCTAACAATCTAATTCAGCCCAGACAAACACACTAGTCAGGTTTCTTCTCCCTTTATGTATTTTTAATCAGGAAAATGGAGAGACAGCATATTTTCTGGTTTGGCGTCTTGGGGTTTTTATTTTGTTTGGTGGAGGGGGTTGGGAGTTTTGATTTTTTTTGTTTGTTTTGCATTTGGAAACCTAGGGCTCCTATGGATCTGAAACATTACTTGTTTTTTTATCTTCACAAAGAAAACCTCCCCCACACTCCCACTAAATGCCAGGATACACTGCAAGGTGTTTTCCATTTGTCAGTGTAACGGATCATCCGAAATGCCAGAACTCAACGTTAAGACCATCACACCGGTTCGTGGACTCACACGGCTCACAGCAAGTAAGGCGGAGCAAGACCGGCAGTCCCAGCCCACGTGGATTTCATCCCATCCCTTGTCTGGGTGCGAGTGTCCTCCCAACACAGTGACTGTCCTAAGAAACGCCACTGACATTAAGGACTACCACGCATGCAGGATACCTGTGGAGGATTTGGTTACATCACACAGTCCCCTTCCAACCAATTTGTTGTGTAAGTGCCCTTCTGCCCATTTAAACAAATCATAAAAGGTTTGTTTTCATGAAATTCCAAACAGCCTCCTCAAACAAGCAAGCCTATAAGTAATAAACAACTTTTTTTTTTTTGGAGATTCACACCAATTTTCCAAGCGGGGGTGGGGGAGCATTTATTTTAAAAATTATTATAAGTTGGGGAGGGAAAGGGGAGTACATGGGTGGTGGGTGTGGTGTCGGGATCATGTAGGCATGAAACCGTCAGAAACAGGATTGTATACCATGGTGCCTCAATCGAGAAGGATTTTAATTTAATTAAAATATAAATGTGTTAAGCCCAGGACTAGTGGTGAGACTGACAGAAACACTCGATAATGCAAAAGCAGGAGTTTTATTCCAGTAGACTGAGGTCAACTCTCTCACCCACAGAAGGGTCTCTTGGTAGCGACCTCGACTTCAGGCAGCAAGCAGTTTCTATAGGGTTTGATTACACAAGCAGTACATGCCTTATTGTTTCAGAAAAGAATCTCAGTTACCAAACAAAGGTGTTTTGGCAAGTATCTAGGGTAACAGTGGACAGGCAACAGTTAAACAATAATTTCCAGTAACAGTACCAATTTTATAATTACATAGGCTTCTCATTCTTTTTTTTTTTCTTTTTTTTTGGGTCACACCTGGCGATGCACAGGGGTTACTCCTGGCTCTGTACTCAGGAATTACCTCTGGCGGTGCTCAGTGGACCATATGGGATGCTGGAAATTGAACTCGGGTCGGCCGCATGCAAGGCAAACCCCGCTACCCCCTATCCGCTGTGCTATTGCTCCAGCCCCAGACTTCTCATTCTTTTAGGATTAACAAAAAGCAACTTCTGGGGCATTGTGAGAATTGATTGAGCCCACTTGCTGAGCCCGGGAACTTTCCCAGGTGGGTTCAGGTTGGCTAGTTACACGTTGCTTCGTTGCTGGGAAACCGAGACGGTTTCAGTTCCTGTAACTGCACCCGAGGCCTAGCTGATTTGGCTGATTCCTGCCACCTGTCATGGCTGCACTCTGGCTTGTTCTGAGTCTCAGGTGTGAAATATTCAATTCTCTAAGTAAACAGAAGAAAGCGAAGGTACCGTCTCCAACACCCTGGGCCAAGAGGAAGGGCAACGCTCTTCACCTGGGTGAGAAGCCCAGGTGCCTGTTCGTTCCCGTGGGAGACAGGGAAGGTCCTGGCGGCGCGCAGATGAGTGTCCAGGTGGGAATCCTCTGTCTGGCCCTTTCCCTCTGCCTGGTGCCCTGCACGGGACCCGAGGCCTGTCACTGGGACTGCTGGTCCCGGGAAAGCCCAGGCAGCCACAAGCACACCTACCTGTCTAAGACCACCAAGTCCGTGGCAGTTTCGGCGTTACTCTTAAGGATTTTCTCCAGTTTCTGAATTTTTTCTCCCAGTTCCTCTGGATCACATTTCCCATTTAAAATGGAAGCAGTGAGTCCCAAAATCCGAGGACAGAGTGGGTAGTTTTCGCAGAGCTAGCATTAATAGAAGATGTCCACAGTGAGCACCGCACATTGCAAGGCCATTAACAAAAGAGACAGCACATATTAAAATTGTCAAAGCCATAAACGCACACTAAAAATCTTACTTATGGAGCTATTGTAGCTCGCTTAAAAGAGCTGCTTCAATAAGCAAAATATCAGAAATCCAAAGACATATGGCTCTCATAATCAGCTGTAGAAAACAAATTATTTCACAATGCCTTTTCAGCAGTTCTGACTGTTGGGTGTAATCTCTAAATAATAATGGTGCATCTTTTGTCGAAATAATGTAATCAAAGTTAATAGAGCGCTAAGTAGAAAAAAGGCACAGAAAACTAGCATTTGTATTCCAATTCTTGTTAAACTGCACTGAAAAATTCAGGTACTGTCAGGTATTTGGTTGAGAGCCTAATAAAACTCAAGATATTTTACTTATGAAAAAAAAAAAGCTGCTTCGCCAAAAGGCACATTTAAAACACTATGATAGATTACATATTTCATTTATTCAGATAATGCTTGAATTGCACTGTAGAAGTTTAGATTATATATTTACTATACAATATTTATCACACATTCAGTAGTATATTTATATGAACATTAGTTCAATATTAATTCATTCATCTGCTGGAACCAAGGTTCTAAAATTGATAACAAGCATTGTTTTTAATATAAAAGAACACTGCCCATACTCCACAATTTGACCAAATTATTCAAACTAAGAAAAATCAAAAAATTTACCTTCATAATTTCTCGGTAGGGATGGTCTAAGATTGCAAGATGGCACTCATCAAACACCAAAAGATTAATGTCTGAGAGTGAAAAGTAACCATTTTTCAAAGCATTCAAGGCGACATAACAAGTCATAACAAGAACCTGAAATAAAATCAACATCAGACACAAACAAGCCGTTCAACCCGCCTCGACTCAGATGAATTCCACATGAACGGACGGACGAATGGAAACCCATACTTGGGAGAACAAGAGTGGAACTGGAAAACACGGAGACAGACTGAGAAAGAAAACCTCAATAACAGGCCAGAGAGAACTCAACAAGTTGGAGAGCAAACCGTGCTAAGCACCGCCCCCCTCCCCCCACCCCACTCCCAAAACACAACAATCTCAACAATGAAAGCCCACGTTGCATGGCCAAATCTACTCAATTTACTCCATCTGGGTTTTCAGGTTTCTACTGATCTATTTGGACTGCTGGGCCATTCACCAAACCAATGGAAGTTATCAGTTATCATAAGAGAATTTGTGGTGCTTGCCTCTTTTGTTGAACTGAGATGGTTTTCCAGAAAAAGACCCACTGAATGTCCTTTTGATAGTCCTCTGGGCATGTAAGGAGTTTGTCTCTGAAAACTCAGCCCTCGAAGGCGCTGCATTTCTGGGTGTGTGCGTGTGTGTGTGTCAGTTAGGAGGCATCGTGTGTGTGTGTGTGTGTGTGTGTGTGTGTGTGTGTGTGTGTGTGTGTGTGTGTGTGTGTGTGTGTGTGTGTCTCGGGTCAGTTAGGAGGCATCAGAACCTGCCAGATTCCCCAGTGCCAACATGCAAAAGGCCTTCCACATGGAAGGGTAAGTTAAAGGAAGTCAAAGACCCAGAGCCCTCAACCAAGGAAATCCTTAAGTTTTAAGACCATTTAACTCAACAGAAAATTTTCTGAACGTGGGTTACCTGCAGGTCGGAAACGTCATGGGAATTGGTTTTCAAGCAAGTAAAGTATACTACAAAGCTCTTTCTTTTCTATGAAGAGTAAAACAAATCAAATCAGTACTGTATTTGGATCTATATAAAATTTTAAAGGGGGGGGGAGTCTCTTTTTAGAGAGAGAGAATCCAAAAGGGCTCGCATCTAGCTTCTAGGTATAAGGTAGTTGAGTCTTTAAGCCAAGCAGACAACAAAAGGCTACGGGCCGTTTTAGAAGCCAAACTGAGGGATCTGTAGGGATGTCTCCAGAGACACCTCAGGTCTTACCTGGTGCTTAGTGAACTCTTGGCTCCATTTCTCCTTTGTACAAGAAGCACTTCCTTCGAGGCTCGCGTATTCCCCCACCTTGAGATCCGAGTGGGTCCGGACAGCTGACGCCTGCTGCGTGACCTGGTTCGCTGATCACAAAGATAACGCACCACGTGAGGAGGGGCGAGCAGGAGAGATCACTCACAGCTGCCCGCGGGATTAGGGATCATTAGGACCATGAAAGAAATCTGCCGTGGAAAATCAGCAGCCCTGAGGCTCCGCCCTGCTTCCTGTTACTCCAGAGAGGCTCCTAGACCTCCTCCCTCAGCTCGTTTCCTCCAACCCGAGAAGTTAGCTTCTAGGCGGGAACCCAGCCCCACACTCCTGGGTTGTCTTTTGTTGCTGTAAAAAAGAGGACGGTGCATAAGCCCGTGTTTTCGGCACGTGCCCGAGAGGGAGGGCGCAGGGGAAAGAAACAAGAGAAAACAAGAAAACCATTCTTGCTGTTTGAGATTATGGGACAGGAGATTACGTTCCAAAAGGATGAGATTGTTCCAGGAGGAATTCACTCCCAGTAACCGCAGAGCCACAATGAAAAGCAATTGTGTCGATGAGAAAAAAAAGTGAAGCTTAAGGCCTGTGGGAATGAGCTGATGAAGGCTTGGGAGCAACACTAACAAGAAATGCAACCAAAGGACATTTCTGCTAGTGGAGCTCTAGCAAGCAAGCTCTTTCCACGTTCAATGATTTCACGTATTTAGCACCCGCTGAGAAAAATCTGCTTAATCACACGTATCGTATCCCATTTCCTCCAGAGTCGGTCCAAGTGTTTGGCATTACCAGAGTTGACCAAGAACACCGTCCTCTTCCCATTGTCCTGGCAGTCCCCGCGGATCTGGTAGGACAGCTCCTTCATGAGTAGCACTGCAATGAACGTCTTCCCTGAGCCAGTGTTTAAGCAGACTATGGTGTTATGGTCCAGAGCTGCCTCCAGCAGTTCGACCTAGAAACAAGGGGGAGGGGTGAGAGGGAGGGGGCGTTATAGACACCTCTTTATCCAAGAAGAAAACTTAGAAAACTGGAACTGTCACATTTTCCTAAAAATAGTCCGCAAATAAATTTATCTTTTTACGTCTCTGAGAATAATCAGCAACACAAAAATGCCTCTTATGGGGCTAGAGAGATGCTACAGACAGAGCCAGGTTTGGTCCCCAGCACCACATATGTTCCCCTGAGCACCACCAGGAGTGAACCCTGAGCACAGAGCCAGGAGTAAGTCCTGAGCATTGCTTGGGAGTGGGGGGGGGGGGGGGGGGGGGATCAGGGCAAACAAAACACAAATAATTTTTTTATATTTTTATTTTTGTTATTTTGTGGGGTTATACATCCAGTGGTGCTCAGGACTTATTTCTGGCTCTGCACTCAAGGATCACTCCTGGCAGGCTTCAGGACTATGTGGGATGCCAGGGATCAAACCTGGGTCAGCTGCGTGCAAGGCAAGCACGCTACCTGCTGTATTTATTATAGCTCTGGCCCCAAATCAAAAAAAAAATTGCAAAAATTAAAATGTCTGTTTATATAGAGCTATGTGCACAATCCTATGTTGAAACAACAGTTACAAATTCTTTAAGAATTATTTTTGCACAGATAGGAAACATGTCTAGAATAAAATAAGTAAGTAAGTAAAGTAAGTAAAGGCCCTCCCGTTGATCGTCGATTTGCTCGAGCGGGCCCAGTAACGTCTCCATTGGAGACTTTCCTGTTACTGTGTCTGGCATATCGAATACTCTCGGTAGCTTGCCGGGCTCTCCGAGAGGGGCGGAGGAATCGAACTCGGGTCGGCCATGTTGGCCGCTTGTAAGGCGAACGCCCTACCCGCTGTGCTATTTACAGGCACAGTGGCTCTGGCAGTTCAGGGCCAAACAACCCAATCTCAAGTTCCCACCTAGCTCATGAGGACAGACACTCATATGGGAAAAAATTAAACATTTCAGACACACACACACACACACACACACATCAACTCAATTCCCCTGGAGATGTTAGAAAAGAAAAGTTCTATTAAGAACAAGTGTTTGGGCAAAAATTTCTTGGCTGAGACCTCCGGGGTGATCTAAGGAGGGCAGGCAGGACAGCCCCCGCCCTAACCAAGCCCCGGCAGCTGCTCCCACACCCCAAAGCCACTGCCACACCTACAGCCGGACCCCACCACCTCGGGTGTGACACCGTAGAGAACCTCATCATCTGGAAACAAAGACGTGAGTCTCTGTGGCTGGACACTCCAGGCCTCCTCAGACCCAAGATGGGCAACCTCCCCCACCTCCCTGTACTTCCAGGGGAACCAACTGCCACACCCACATCCCCCCATCAGTGCTGATGGAGGTCAGCTGCCGGCCTTGTTGCAGAGACTCAGAAATAAATCTTAACAGAGATCAACTAGCCACAAAAATGTCCGTTCCTGACTGAGCCCTCTGAGATGATCTCGGAGGTGGGCAGGCCAGCCCTCACCCTGACAAGGCCCCGGCAGCGGCTCCCACACCCACCAGTTGGTACCATGCCCCTGGCCCGACTGCCCAGGTAAGAACCGTCTGGACCGCATGGCTGCATTTGCAGCCCGTGACTTCTCCAAACTCCACCACACTGGCATCCCAGTGGGAGCACGCCAGGCTGGATGGGATATAACGGGGCAGCCAATCCATCCCATTAACACAGAAGGCAAAATTTGCAACAACAGCCTAACAAGCCCTCAGACAAGGACTTAAAGTCCCCACGGTGAGATACAAACAGTTTCCACAAATTTTCTTCTGTGGAATTTTTTTTTTTGGATCATTCCGTTATCCCTTTAGTTGGTAACAAGCAATATAAAATAAAGTACGGTGGACCTGCTACAGGGGCAGGCTTGAGGTGTGGTTGGGAAAATGGAGACAGTGGTAGAGGGAAGGTGATGATGGGATTGGGGTGGTGGGGTTGGGGTTGGAATATTGAGTGCCTGGAACAAATCATCAGGAACAACCTCGTAAACCACGGTGTTTACGTCAAGTGGGAAAGAAGAAGAACAAGAGTTCGGAATGAGAAAAAATTAACCAGAAGAGAAAAGCTTCAAAAGGTAGATGAGTTTTCTATCAGTCATGTCACCTCTATGCTAATTTATTCCACTTTAGTGCAGATGCTCCGGTATTAGTGTTCTCATTAGTACCTGATATTTTCTTGGCGTATAAATGTTATCGGGAATAGCTTCTTGTTGCCATGGCAATCCAAAGAAAGGACCCATTGGTGAGGAAGCAGGGGTCAGGAGCTGCAGAGCCGCCATGCTGAGGGGTCGCAAAGCAGAGCTTTTCACCCATCCAGTGTTTCTCTCACTGCATTTCTGCTCTAGCACAGCTTACTACAAAAGGGAAAAAGAAGACCATTACATGACCATGCAGGGCTAAGGCAAAGGAAAGCACAGACACAGGAGAGACGTCAGGACAATCCTTCCCACAGGCCTTGCAAACTCCTGTGCTTGCTTTTCTTTCTTTTCTTTTTCCTTTTAAATCATAGGGATCATTTCAAAAGTCAGACATTCTGTACACTTCAACCCAGCAGGTCTACATGCAGAAACCCAGTGAAAAGAGTTAGACACCTGCACACAGAGGTAGAAAGCCCACAAGTACTTAATCCTGCATCACTGCTGAAGATTCCAAAATAGCTTTAACATGTACTGATAAAAAAAAATCAACTAAATGAGTTAGGGTACTGATATATAACAGGACACTCTGAATCCATTAAGAGCCATATCTATATTAACTGACATCACCGTATCCATAACATACCTTTAAAAGAAATTAAACATGATATGTCTTTTAAAATATACACGTGTGTAATGTGTGAATGAGTATATGAGTATCACGATCACAATCATCCTGTTGTTCCTCGATTGCCTCAAGGAGGCACCAGTAACGTCTCCTTCGCCCTAGCCCTGAGATTTTAAAAAGTGCCATATTCAAGGCTCTTTCGGGGCTAGGAAAATGAGACCCATCATTGTTACTGGTATTTGGCATATTGGGTACACCACGGGGAGTTTGCCAGACTCTGCCGTGTGGGCAGGTTACATTCGGTAGCCTGCCAGGTTGTCCAAAGTAATATGAATATACTTATGTAAATAAACACACAGAAACATATTTCAACTGCTTTTTAACTCCTATAATCAGATAATCAGAAAAGTGCTCTTGTTCAGACAATTAGCAAATGTAGGAAAGGCATGAGGCGTGGTGCTTGTTCATAAGAAAGATTCAAACCCCCCAGATATTATGTCATTTTATCCGACTATAAAACACAGGCCTTCCCTCCATAGATGGCCTGCCAGCTCACAGCTGGATGACCAAAACGCATTTCTGGAAAGGTTCATGGGTCCTGGCAGAATGGACATGGGGCCTGGCCATGGTCTCGAAGCCCCATCTGTATGTCACATGGCCTTTCGCAAGGAGAGAGTGCAAAACATCAGCTGATGGGAAGACCATGAAATAAAAACCAAGCCTTCTCGCATTCCTCACTGCGCAGAGGGACGGGTTCTCTGGGCCATCAGCGGAACAGCTGGTCCCGCCCAGCTTCCGAGCACCCACACTGAACGGAAAGAATCGCATTCTTTGTTCCATCACAAAAGCCCGTCTCTCCTGACAGGTTCCATTTATATGCGCAGGGGTGGCCGATATTTAAGCTGCTGCACCTAATCCAGTAAGAAGTCTCAAGTGTAGACTGTGCTGCACAGAGCCACATGGCAGATTCTGCCGTCAGAGTCGGCCCACCTCATGCCCAGGGCATCCTGGCACCTGGCTGCAGGGCTCAGAGCTGAGGGCCGCTGTGGGCCGGGCAGCTGCAGTGGCCGCCTGGGCAAGAGAGAGGGAGGAGGGCATCAGCAGGGCATTCCAGAGCAAGGCAGCTCGTCCTGCGGGTCAGACACAGCTCCAGCCTTCCTGAAACCCGACTCCTCCGGATCACAGCCTCCAAGGAGCCCGCTCAGACTCTGCCCTCCCAGTGTCTGCTGGGCTCCACGCCTGTGGCCTCTCTGGCCTGTCCCTGAGCCTGGCCCCAGTGTGACCCCGACACCCATCACAGCGGAGGGCTCAGGAAACAGGTGGCCAAAATCCTGGTGGGCGGACGGAGGTTCCAAAGGAAGGAGGTGGCAGGACTGAGTGTGAACCCCCAAACACCAGGACCCCGCCACAGGCCCTCCTCCTACCATGGCCCCCATTTCATCCTAAGGGGAAAAAAAAAAAACAGGATGATGATACATGGGGGAGGCTAAACGTTAAGAAAAGACGTTCCAGCTTTTAAGAAAGGGGAGCCAATAGCCTCCGAAACAATCAGCATCATGAGATAGAAATGACACAAACATCCCATGGTAAAGAAGACACTTGACAGGGCCACCTGCCTCTCGGGGTGCGAGGGGACCGCACCTGGGGATGGGGGAGCCACACCTGAGCACAGAGCAGTCACACCTGGGCACGGACAAGCCAAACGTGTGCATTGACGAACCACACCTGGGCATGGACGAGTCACACGTGGGCACGGACAAGCCACACCTGGGTACAGAGGTGCCACACCTGGGCACGGAGCCGCTGAGTCCGTGCTTAGGGAAACAGGCGCCATTGGTGCACGAGAGAAACTGCCCTAAGCACCGTTTGGGGACAGGGAGAGCCCCACAGGCTCGTCTGTCCTCGCTCTTGCAACAATTCTATACTTGGAATTTCCAAATAAGGAGTTTTTAAAAAGCAACTAAGCGAAACAGTAGCAATTAGACTGGGGTCTCCAGAGCCAGGTGGTGGCACACTTATGCAACACCCACGGGCTGGAGCCATGAAGGTGCGGCCACAAGCCAGCAGGTCTGCACCCTGAGACCCCAAGCAGCCCCGACAGCCTAGCCCACGCGCCTGCGTCGCACATGTTCACGCCGGCGCGCGGATGGACACAGCTTCCTCCTTCCCGGGGCACTAGCGCTCCCAGAGCCAGCCAGGTGCCTTGCTCCCTACTGCGACCGCACTAGCGGTGACCACACACCGTGCCACTCAGCTATTGACGGGCACCGGGCGTGCGTGGAAGTCTGCACGGGAACACGCAGAGAAGAGGCCTGAGGACCGTTTCAACGCGTTTCCACCTCGCTGGGAAGTGACCGCTGACCCCCTCCCCTGGCCCATCAAGGTGACCGCAGGAGGGGAGACGCGGCCTGTCCAGTTACCCTTCCATAGGCTCCTTTTCACTCATTTCATAAACAGCTGCTGGCCACAGTGACACGCTTTCTCTTTAGGGAAAGCAGATATGAGTAAAAATTCGACATGTAATGCAATAATGTGAGCAGGGAAAGACCTTTTTCACCAGTATTTACACTCTGTGGCCTGTTGAAATCGCTGCCCCCGCCCCCACCCCCACCAACTTGGCCTTAGTCAAGCACTGAGTCCCAGCTAGAGCAAGTGTCAGCGTTTCACAGATGAACTGACCCGTTAGCTGCCCCGACAGAGCCAGTAATTGGTCAGACACGGGACACAACAGGAGACTGCTGAGGCTGTCCACCGCTCCCACGCACGGCTCGCTGGGATGTGACTTGGTCAAACGTGTCAGCCCACCCTCGCTACCTCTTAGGCACAGACATAGTCACAGATTTACCGTTTCAATGTTCGCGAGCTCTGCTCTGCTGTTGTCGGAACTGCATTTTGACATTGTGATAGCAGTTTACTGGAAAACCACAGCAAGCCCCGCTCTGAAAAACAAATGCAAAATAGCCAGGGTTGGGATCTCGGGATTTAAAGGGAATACAAAGACAACTGCAAGACAGCCCTGTGCGCACGAAGGGCTGAATAAAAGGCCATTATTTCCCAGTACATCGTGAACAAAAGGACACTGAGTTATTTTAGGTACTAAGTCTTACTCTAAAACAAAGAACAAGAGTTTACACTCAGACAATCACAAGCCTAACCCCCTGAGAGCTGGGGGCAAGAAAAAGTTAGAGAAAAGGTCGTGAGGATTTCAAAGTGCATACAAGGAAATCAAACAAAGTAAATAAATCCAAAGTTAGTGACTAAAGATAAATTTAAAAAAATAATAAAATACAGGGGGCTAAAAGTGTGTTGTTTCCTATATCCACATACAAAAACTCTTGTACAAAAATCATTTATGGACAAGAACATTCATCAACCAATTGACAATGTCAATGAAGTAAAGAAAGTTGAACCGGGCAGGGGGTCGGGGGGCTTCTCCTAGAATCGATTATAAATCAAAAACCAAGATGAATCTTTGAGGAAGATCTTGATTTGATCACAAATGTTGAACTTGGACAGACCTAACTCTGGGTTCCCGCCCCCTCCCTTTCTGGGACCATGCCCAAGGGTGCGGGTGGAGGCCCCTGAAGCACCCTCCCGGTCCAGGGCTTCCTCTCTGCCTCTGACCCGGGCGGGCGCTGCCAGGCCAGGCTCCACTTCACCTTTCCCTACACACTGAGTTCTTCTAAAAGCAAAAGACGGAGAAGCCCTACCACTAAGATGTTCGTCATGGACATATTTACCTCAAAATGCTGATTCTAAGTTCTTTCAGTTGCCAAGTCTGTATTAATTCATACCCTAGGTAACCTAAAAAGAAAAAAAAATCAGAGAGAAGAGTTTAGAACACAAAAACTCATTTTTATTTATTTATTTTAAATTTTATTGAATCACCGTGAGATAGTTACGAGCTTTCATGTTTGGGTTACAAACACACAATGATCCAACACCCATCCCTCCACCAGTGCACATGCCTCACCACCAATCTTCCCAGGATAACCCCCTTTCCCACCCTCCCACTGCCTCCATGGCACACAATATTACCGTATTCTCTACTTTTGGAAAAACTCACTTTTTTAAACAAATCAACTTTAAGAAAATTAGACACTTTCATATTTATGGGGTCAGAGAAACAGAACGGCGGGCAGGGCACTTGCCTTGCATGCGGCTGACCCGGTTGAGATTCCCTGAGCCGACACCCCATGAGATTCCCTGAGCCCCACCAGGAGTAAGTGATCCCAGAGCACCGAGCCAGGAGTAAGCCCTGAGCACCACCCCAAACCATGCCCCGACCCCCATTGTTTAAAAAATTTCTCGTATCAGACTAAGAGCCCTGGCGAACCATTTATCTCCTGCAAGGTGAAAGAACGCTGTCTGAAAGCGCTGGCCTTAAACTCTGCCTTTGTTATGTTCTACCGCAAGGAGTCTTTGAAAAAGCTCTGAGTACAAACCAACGAGGTGGGAGTGAGAACAATTGGTCTTAAATGAGTATTTTCACCCAGGAAGGTCTCCGTGAGCAGCCTGTGAACAGCCCAGAGCCCACCCTCCTGCCCACCTACTGCCCTGAGCTGCCCCCACATGGACGGACTTGCGTTTCCATTCTCCACTGCTGACGTGGCAGACGCAGATTCAATACACCCAGTGCAACGCACCGAGAGGCCACGCACCACGTCTTTCCTGGATGCCCTCTGCTCTAGGAGTATCATCACCAACATAATAAACTGACAGTCACTGAAAATTCAGTGGGGAGGTGTGGGGGGGAGGGGCAGGGCAAAAGTACAGCAGGGAGGGTGCTGGCCTTGCATGCAGCCATCCCGGGTTTGACCTCTGACACCCCATATGGTCCCCTGAGCGTCACTGGGTGTGACCCAAAAGCAAATAATTAAAATTCAGTGTGATTCCACTATGACAAAATGATTGCAGGCCTCCAGATGATTTCCCCTGGACAACTCAATAACAGGATGCACTGGCGAGCACGATGGCTGATTTCACCCGGGAATGCACAAGCAGGAAGCCAGGCACTCTTGACCATCACCACCACGTCCAGTCAAACACGCAAACTCCTGTTTCATCGGCCCACCGAAGACATGCCACAGACCAAACACTTGGTCCGTTTCAGTACAAACCCTCACACTTAAGCTCACTCACACGCACCAGCTAAATGCAGTGGGCTGTGCCCTTCTACACAGAGGCTCGTAACAACAGAGAACTAGGGCTCCGGTCTGAGTCTAAAGGCAGCCTGGAGCAGCCTGGTACGCATGTTCAGAATGGAGACCCAAAGTCTCCCAACTGGCCAGGCACCAACAGCCCCAGAGTTCCACGCTACAGAGTCTCACTGTAGAGTCACACAGTTCCACACTATAGACTGAGACTCACTGTAGAGTCACACAGCTCCACGCTACAGACTGACTGAGTCTCACTGCAGGGTCACATGGCTCCACGCTACAGACTGGGTCTCACTGTAGGCTCACACAACTCCACACTATGGACTGACTGAGTCTCACTGTCCAGATTTCATCACTGTTCTCAGGAAGCCCAAAATACACAGCTACCATCAAGTCCCACAGTGATCAGAAGGAACTGCACAGTGTGAACAGCTGACACTGGGGCACTGTCCAAAGCACTTCTGTCGGCCAGCAGGGAGAAATGAAGCACACCTGAAGTGCAGATCTGCACGGGAGAGCCACGGCACCAGCCTCACCGCACCAGCCTCCATGGTGACAGGCGTCCTTGGCCATGTGCTGGAAATAACTGACGGAAGGACAGTACTGCCGGGGCAGGGGCAGATACCAAAGAACAAGACTTCGTCCCTTCCCTTACACCCAGCAAGGCTCAAGGGCCTCCCCCTGCCTCTGAGCTCAGGGATCAACTCCCAGCAGAGGTCTAAGGGCTGGAACCTAGGGTGTCGGCATCTGGCATCCAGGCCAAGCATCCAGCCCGAGTCACAGTGCTATCACTCTGGCCCATCAAGAATTTCTTTTACAAATGTCTCTGAAACTTAAGCAGTAAGAAACATCAGGCCCAATCATGCAGTTTCCTAAGAGATGGATTTCACCTGTCTCCTGACTCCAAACTGTGAACCCGACCATCAGTCAGTGAGAATGCAAGAACATCAGCCACTCTGTCTTGAAACAGCGATGCAGTGCATTGTCGCTGTGGCCGGGCACCAGGCAGCCTCGTGCATCTGACTGGTTTCTTTCAAATCTTACCCACTAAAGAAGTCGCCAGTTTAATGAGGACTGAACACTGAAAGAAGGTACAGTCACATGCATGATACCCTATCAGTAACGCTACTGTAAACCACAGAATGGGGGGATAAAGGAGGAACAAAAAGTACCTGCCGTAGAGGCAGACAGCAGGAGTGGAGCTGGGGACACTGGTGCTAGGATTGGTGCTGGAGCATTGCACAGCTGAAATTCAATCGTGAATAACATTACGCCTTTGTAATTAATGGTGATTCCTTTTTTTTTATGGAAATTTCATTTTATTTACAAGACATATTTTTTTTGGCTTTTTTCTGGGTCACATCTGGCGATGCACAGGGGTTCTTCCTGACTCTGCACTCAGCAATTACCCCTGGCGGTGCTCAGGGGACCATATGGGATGCTGGGGATCGAACCCAGGTTGGCCACGTGCAAGGCAAACGCCCTACCCACTGTGCTATTGCTCCATCCCCTGCAAAACATAGTTTTTAATATTTTTAATGAATCACCCTGATATACAATTACAGACTTACAAAATTTCATGATTATATTTCAGTCATACCATGATCAAGTATGCATCCCTCCACCGGTGCCCCTTCTCCACCACCAATGTTCCCAGTATCCCTCCTGCCAACCCCACTCCTCCCCACCCCTGTTTCCCTGTCCCTGCCACTAATCATCAGGGAAATGCAGATCAAAACACAATGAGAGGGGCTGGAGCAATAGCACAGCTGGTAGGGTGTTTTCCTTGCACGCAGCTGACCCAGGTTTTATGCCCAGCATCCCATATGGTCCCCCGGGCACCACCAGGAGTAATTCCTGAGTGCATGAGCCAGGAGTAAACCCTGTGCATCATGGGGTATGACTCAAAAAAAAAAAAAATGAGATATCATCTCACACCACATAGACTGGCCCATATCCAAAAGAACAAAAACAACCAGTGCTGGTGTGGATGTGGGTAGAAGGGGACTCTTCCTTCACTGCTGGTAGGAATGACAACTGGTTCATTTTTTTGGAAAACAATATCGACATTTCTCAAAAAACTAGAAATTGAGCTCCCATTTGAGTCAGCCATACCACTTCTGGAGATTCAAAAAAAATATGGTAGAAATGACATCTGCACTAGTATGTTTATTTGCAGCACTATTTACAATAGCCAGAATCTGAGAAAAAACCTGAGTGCCCAAGAACAGATGACTGGTTAAAGGAACTTTAGTACATATACACAATGGAATACTATGCAGCTGTTAGAAAAGATAAAATCATGAAATTTGCATATAAGTGGATCAAAATAGAGTATCATGCTAAGTGAAATGAGCCGAGAGAGAGGGACAGACATAGAATGACTGCACTCATTTGTGCAGTAACAGTAAAGTAACAGAACGGGAAACGAACACACAAGGATAATAGAGATAAGGGTCAGGAGGATCGCTCCATGGCTTGGAAGCCAGTTTCACATGCTGGGGGAAAAGGCAGCTGGGATAGAGAAGGGACCACTAATGATGCTTGGAGGGCCTGCTTAGGATAGGAGATGTGTGCTGAAAGTAGATTATGGACCAAACATGATGGCCACTTACTACCTGTATTACAAACCATAACACCCAAAAGGAGAGAGAGAGAGCGAAAGGGAATGTGCCTGCCACAGATTCAATTTTTTTTTAGATGTTTTTGAAAGTTAAAAAGTAGCCAATTAAATAAGTAATGTAAACGGAGCAGAGTTCTGGCCAGATAACCAACCCAACTTCCGGTTTGACCCTCGTCGGTACTGGGTGACACAGGGAGACTGACGGGCACTCAGATGGCAGAGGTTCTCACCAACGTGCATGTGGCTGTGCCTGGAGAAACAAAGACCAAAGGGACAGGGAGCCACTGGGCTAGAGCCTCGGAGAGGTCTAATGACAAAGCACAGAGGGGTGAGGTCCCACCAGGGGCCGAGACCAGCACAGGGACAAGACCAGGCAGACACGCATGGGTGGCATGAGGGGCAGGACATCGTGATCTGGACCAGAATAAGTGACAACGTTCACCAGTGAAGAGAGGACCGGTCATTGGGGAGGGGCCTGGACCTCTCCCCCCACCCCCACCTCAACTGTCCAATAAACTCACTTCACACACACCTAGAGCTGTGCATACAGACTCTCCCTACAGTGCTCAAGAACCACCGAGTTCAAGAACAGCTGCACTTTTGGGGTCATAGTTACACCTCTGAAGCTTGCCGCAAGCAGCCTGCTGGAGGGAAGGGGGATGTCTGGCCCACTCAGGGCGAACGCTCACTTGGTGACGAAACCACTACTTCCCCTTCTACCTCTGTGCAGAGATTCTCTAGATTGGGAGATTTTGTTTTCAATTATATTTCATGAACAGTGGGGGAAAAAAAAAGAGGGCAGAGGGGGGGTGGAAAAAAAAACACCGAAAAACCACAGTTCAAGTCTCAAATAGCATTCATAATAAATAACAAAATTCCACCTCGTGGAGCCGAAAGACTAGAGAAACCTTACACGCTGTGGCCCACTGATAGCGGAAAGAGGAGTTTAAAGAAGTGAAGATGAGGCAAACCAGGTCCAAGGGAGCTGTACTAAACGGAATCTGCAGCGGAAAGGGTTCTGA